CAGGCTTGCTGTCCTCTTGCTGTTCTCACCGAAAGGCTCGACCACACTGCAATGCAGCAGACCACAAGACACAGATCCAACACTCAAAAAAAAATAAAAAATTCTCAATTTCAGGCTGTGTTAACAAGGACTATTATGACAACTCTGACTATGGCCTTGAACTCAGCCTGGAGTCCTGTTCTGCCTAATAGACCCGACCGCAGGCGACTCTACACAGGTGGTCTCCGGAGACCTTTGCAGCCTGATCTGACCGTGTCCTGCCCTCATCTGGGGAGCCGGTGAGTCTTTCAGCGCTGCTGTAGCTGCCAGGCGTGTTTACAGCTGTGTGGCATCAAACATTCATCACATGTTATCTTAAAAGAGTATGATGTGAGACAATCAGCATTTCACAGGCTGTCAAATAGAGTCCAAACCACTTGCTACCTGGCAGTGTTAGACAAACACCCACAGAAGGGGTACAGGTTTCTCTTTAGTCTAATTCTTGACAGATGAGCTTTCAAATATGTTACAATATTAATTCTGACTTTAATATTTAAAACAGTCAATTGACAGGAAATCTTAAAATCAGCTTTTAAGTGCAAATGTTTCATTTTTCAGCTGGTTTTCACTTCATCAAATTTGTCCCAGTTCTGAGCAGATTAATTTGGCTGGCTAATACTCATTTACTGCGCTGCTCTTCATCTTTTAAGGGGGATAAGGAAGAAGAAACAATTGTCTCCTGTAGTGCACATAATGGAGGATTTCACTCCAAAGTTGTTCCCATGAATGGCTTCTCTTAGGGAGAAGTAACTGACCTGATCTCTTCACCGGCCTCTGGTTTGGCTTTTCCAGCAGTGCTGTAGCACCATCTACAGGCTGCGAGCCAGCAGGCAGCCGAGAACTCTGAGTGACCCCTTCCTGCAGTCACTGCTGATGTATAGCACATTTATCTCGCTCAGTCTTAGCGAAAAGCACATCTAAAAGGCAGTTATTTTATGTAGAGTTTTAGCTGTCACATTTTTCTCTCTCGCAGAGAAGGAAACATGTTGTTGTCAAAACCCTTGAAAAGTGCAGATCTTCAGCTCATTACTGCGGCATAAACAAGAGGAAGTAAAAAAAAAAAAAAAAAAGAAGAAGACGACCCAAGATTTCTTGTTAGTATTTCCATTCACTGATGAAAATGTTTACAAAGATTTGCCAAAACTTTGTTTAAATGTTTTCTTTCGGGTTTGTTTTTTCATTACATTACCTAATTAGAGATACCATTTTAGCACCACAGCCCACTGGTGAAAAATCAAGGCAGCTTTAAATAGTCAAGCCAGGAGACCTCCTGCTCTCACAAACAGCAAATATTTTCACTGCTAAACAAAAACACATCATAGCAGCATAAAACCAAATAAGAGCCAGCGTGCTAAATATACCTTTTCTTGCCTTGCATAAGACAATCCTCTTCAAATTCAAAGGTAAAACCCTTCACTTAGCTTAGACCACGGCAGCGATCCCTGACACAAAATGTGAATAACTTTCACCCCAACAACTATTTCATAATGCACGAAAGAATCAGCATAAACAGGGAGGCACTGTGTGATACAAGCTGTGAGGAGGTCAGAGGATTGGCCTGTGGGGCTGAGTAAAATAATGGCTATAAGTATTTCCTGGTAAAGCACTACTTCAGCTTCCCACAGTAGCCAGAGAAATAAAAAAGCAGTGGTAATGCATTACAGGATATATGTACCCACACACATATATATATATATATGTATATATATATATATATATATATATATATATATATATATATATATATATATATATATATATATATATATATATATATATATATATATATATATATATATATATATAAAACATAGAGGAGTAGGACTGGCATGAAAGGCATGATTAATAATGTATAATAATGTATATTAAAGCTACACCACTGCAGAGTTTGCTGCTCCGAGGAGCCCCACACTGCCTACCACTGTGGAAAAGAGCAGACACTGGTGGCATAATTACGCACATCTGAGAGGCAAGCAGAGGCCATCTGTCAATGTCTAAATCAGTTACCTTATTACCACTGCCTAAAGATATAAAGATAGGAGTGGGAGCCGCTTTCATTAGGGCGCACGGTGGCATGCTGCTTTAGACGGCTCCAAAACACCAACCTAATTGGAAATGATGACTCGGAGGAGGAGAAGCAACTGTGCGGTTGACGCCCTAGGAGTGGGCAGGGGCACGACTGTGGAAAAGTGGCACGGCACTGGGCATGTAATACCAGTCAGGCTAGACCTCGTTGATGCTCCTGCTGACTCGCAGGTGAATGCATACGTTCTACTACGATATTTACATGCGATTTGCATCTTTTACTATGCTTATTGGTAGTTGAGGATATGATAAATAATTGTTTAAGAACTTTGCACATAGTGAACTTTCAGTCTGCTCATGAGTGGCTGATGAATAACTGAGGCAGATTTACTCTGGGAAACGCTCACCAATCACCTTTGACATGTTGAGTAGTTAAAGCCCTCCTCATCACAGTAAAAGGCATACTCTCCTCTCTCACTACTGGAATTTTCTGCATTTCATCTGCTGTTTGCAGTTTAGCTGTAGGTTTTGGAAAGCCTCCAAATATCACAATATGATCAGAAAAACTCAGTTAAATAACAGAAGTTATACTCTTACTTTATTACTGTATAGACACAATTGATCTGTGTTAATTTAAACCTTTACGTAATGTATAAAGTAATTAAATAGCCTTTATTAAGAACACTGTTAATCAATTATACTAATTCACTTTATATAAAATAAAAATAAGAATTGTTTGTAGATATATAGCTAAAATATTGAACATATTCTTACTTCATTTAATACTAGTTTATAAGTACTCATCAAGTCTTACTCAAAATTAATCTTTAAAGACTATATTATATTCTTAAGGAGGATGGCCTTAAACTATATATTCCAAACGATAGATGACAATTTCTTTTAACACCCAGACTTGTTTCAAAACAGCCAAATTGAACTTTATTTTCAGAAGGGAAAGTATACTGGCCATCATTCAGCCAGCTGAACGGCAGGGCACAGCAACGGGAGGGCTGGGTTACTGCCTTCCTTAAATCCCACTAACTCCCACCAAAAGGTTCTCCGATGTCATTAAACTTAGTTACTTGTTGGAAATAGAGATTAATTTATCGTTATTCTTATTTAAATACAGGAAGTTAAACAAATATAGAAACATATGCTGAATTTAGAATAGCGTTTCCTTTTCTTGTTTTGCTCTTTCTCAAGTAACAGAAATATGGTTACGTTTTCTATTAGTGTTAATGGAAAAGAAAACTTATAAGACTGACTGATATATTTTTTTAACTAATATAGTTTCTTTCTCTATTATTTATTAGAAATAAAAAAACCTGAGGGACCTGTTACACCAGATATTTGCCTTCATAAGCATGCAGCTTTAAGTTGCTAATAGTAATTATGGTTCCGCGATGGATGCTTCTCCTTACATATCCAAGCCATAACTGACATTTTTAGGCCTAGATTTTTTTTGTCCCCTTTCTCCAAATATCCTGAATTAGTCTTTCTTGTCAGACAGGTTAAAGTGCAGTGGTCTCCTTTCAAACAGCTGACAGGCAGTGTGCAACAACATAATGGGGGAGGGGGGGTGAGAGCTACTCTGCTTCACATAAGAGGAGAGAACTTTCATCATTCCGGGAGTTTCTCTGGCAGCTAATTTAAATGATGGCACGATGGAAATTGTTTGTGATCCAAAACCATAACTTTTAAAAACCTCAATATCAATAATAGCCCCATGCCTACCAGGCACTCTCAATCCAACTCCACTATATTGATAATGATGAAAATAACATTTTTGAGTCTCTCTGTTCCTCTATTTGCATGGTGTATTCCTAAAACAGCAGGTGGAATGGGAGAGGAAATGAGAGATTATAGTGTTTTACAGCACTCGTACCTTGCCTGCGGAGGATCTAATTATAGGTGGAGAAAGAAGGCCCCATCCCGCCGACCAGTCACCTGTCCGACCGCAATCCAGCACCCGCACCCAAACCTGCCTGTCTGCCCCCCCCACACAACCTCTCTCTAAGCTGTCTTCCTCTTTGAGCTCCAACTTTCTTTTCCAGATAGTAGCCTGCCTCCCACACTCTATCCTTACACAATTGCTCGCATTGTTCTCAGTCTTCCTGTCTGTGTGTCTGCCTGTCTGTATGCTGTGCTGTTCTAAAGGCTGTGATACACTGAGCCCGGCCAGTGCCTGAGGGGATTTGCACCTCAGTATCAGTGAGCAGGGCTTATAGAATACACCAGGTATGAATTGCATGTCATCCTGAGACTGAGCAGACAGAAGAAAGGCAGTAAAAGGAGAGTTTCTTCACACACCCTGTCTGTGACCGCTTCCTCACCCTGACACTGGGCTGGCAGGGCTTTCATGGCAATTGTACTCTCTTAATCATGACATTAGATGCACTGTGCTCTGGGAGATTCACAAGGTGCTTTAAGATTATTTAAGCTTAGGACCTCAGATCACATATGCTCATTAAAACAGCTAAACAGAGACATTTAAACAAGGTTTAAACCTTAGAGGCAGACTGTCACTACTCCAACAAAGGAAGCTCAGACGGTGATCCTCGTTACACCATCCCTTGAGTTATAAGGCTTTGCAAGGAGTCAGATGCACAAACGCCCAAACCCCACCCTTTCAAATATACTCTAATGTCATCAGAACCAAAGTAAAGCCAAGTGGGGTTTGATTCAAAGGATAAATCACATCCAATGCATACGTATGGATAAAAAAGAAGAAAAAAAAGAAGAAAAAAAGACATGCAACCTTGTTTTTTTTCCATGGGAAAAAGACCAGCAGAGAGAAAATGGCTAAAGCATAGATTTGCCTCGCCGTCTAATTCACACGAAATGAAAAGAGTTATCGCCAGGCTTCGGTAAAACGGGACAAAACTTGCTCGGCCCAAGGCTAGAAGATGGTTCATTAATGTGAGCCAATGGCTTACCAGAAAGGCTATTAGACTTCGTTGTGTGCTCTCCCATTGAAAACAGCTTTTAATGTACTGTAACGTGTACAGAACTGCTGTGCTGATTTTTCGCACCCGATATATATTCCTGGCAAGGATCTGAAAAAGAAATTATTGGAAGAAAACAGTCGTTAGGATTGTATTTTAATGGACATTATGCTGTGGATCTCAAAATTAGGTTAAATTAACTTTAGTGATTAAGATGGTCAAAAATTTAGCTTAACTGCAACTATTGAATAATTCCATCCAAACATTATCAAGGCAAGTCAAGTTTATTTATATAGCACATTTCATTGGCAAGTCAATTCAAGCAAGTTGTGAGATGTATTTATAGATTTTTGGTTAAACTTGTTAATTTAAAAAACAAACAGGCAGATTACCTTCTTGTTGAACTTGGAGTTTTCCTCAATTAGTTTTGCCCCTTTTGGTTGGAAGGTTTTGACACCAGCTCCGACCTAGGACCAGAAAAAAATACTACAGCTGTATCACTGTTTCAACTTGATATTTTATATATATATATATATATATATATATATATATATATATATATATATATATATATATATATATATATGTCTTTTTCAGCTTTTGTTGTCATTACAGTGTCACGAGTACAGAGAAGCAAAATTAATCTCGGTATTTCACCCATTCCCTTGGGGAGCAGAGGGTTGCCGGGGAGCAGTGTGAGGTTAAGGGTCTTGCTCGGGGACACAGAGTGGCAGTCTGTGGGAGTGGGGCTTGAACTCAGAAACTCTGGATTCCAAGCGCAATGCCCCAACCACCAGGCTACCAACTCCCCCATTACATCATAATATCTCACTACAATTAAGGACCATAAACCAATATCATGACAAATATACCACAGTCTTCCAGTAAAAGGTTGTGCAATAATATAAGTGTTATAATTACTTATTCAAAAGAGAGAATGGTTATTTTTACTGCATGAAAATACAACACATTATAAACTCCTCAGGTGTAAAATTTAACCAACAGAACAGTTGGACAGGAAAAATGGCCTCTTAGGATCATTTATTTAGTCAAAGCAGATTCTTAATAGCTCCCTTATACATAAAAGCCAAAGAATTCTATGTTGTCAACAGAATAATATAATTATAATGCTTAGAGTTGTGAAAAAATATTTAAAAAAAAAATCAAAATTAATGTTAGAAAATATATATAATTAAACTTTCAATCTTTCACTATAAAGCTTTCCCTCTAAAGGAATTGTTTTTGGGTTTTTTTATCAATCAATCATAGTTTTACATAACTTAGTTGACTCTTTGACACCAAGAAGAAACATGTTTGCATCCAGAAGGTTTATGATAAAGTTTGTCTGTATTAATTGTCATGTTTGTCGGCATTCTAACTTTAGGTTATGCAAAATCTTTCTTACTGTACAGTGGCACTGAGCTTAACCCAGTAAGTTAATTTGTGTTATGTGTCCTTCAGCATTTGCGTATAGTTCAGTAGTAAGAAGGTAATAGTGAGACCATGAAGACATGAGATTTCCTGAGTCAGAAGGAAAGGTGCTACCTTTTATCCCTGAGCAGATCCCAAAATCTGTGGACGTGTTGCTTTTCAGAGCAACACGTCCACAGAGATCCCCGCTGGTTCCACAACAGATGAACCGGAAACAAATTGTTTCTGGTGCAAATAATGATTGCTGACCATGCAGGTGACCCCAAGAATGGTTATCCCTATCCCACCATCTAGAGTAATTTTACCACTTAGATTTTAGTATAAAAGTCCAGTATCAGGCCTCAAAGTCCCATTCCTCAATGAATATTCATTATTTTTTTCTAAAGTAGTTTCTAAGTTGGAATTTGTATGTTTATGCATCTTTTGCATTAGTCCCCCCTTTTGTTGATAAGACAAAACAAAAATTATAAGTGAATTTTTTTTAAATTTCTGCTTTTTACTTAAAGGTACAGTGGAGGATTTTCTTTTTCCGGGTGGATCATCAAAATAAGTGGTCCTAAATTCTGGTGATATGTTTATGTAAGGCCGTCCTACGTGGTCGTCCCCATTTTCACTTACCAGTGGTGAGTCTGACATAGTGGAAAAAAATTGAAAATCTTCCTTTGGAAAGTAAGCTTGTATGAGCGATACAAAGAGCAACTTTGTATCGCTCATACAAGAAATGGGCCTGGCGCATGCTCTCATAAGCGTTTAATAGGCATTCCCTCTTGGGAGCGGATACAGAGTTGTGAATATGCATTTTTTTATTTTAAAGTTTTAAAAAAAATTTGAGAAAATCCTCGACTATACCTTTGAGCATTAATTTAAAATAAGTTTTAAATCCTCAACAATATACTGTAGAGCCACCTCCCTTCTTATTTAGCTTGATAATGATAATTATCTAGAAGGGACAGCTTTGTTGTAAGATTGATTTCAATTAATTATAAACTGATTTAATTCCATATACCAATGATTTTATTTATCTTTTGTCTTCCCTACGCATTCTGTAATACTTTTTTTTTTCAATCACTTATATTCATACTTCTAATTTTTAAACTTCAACTAAAGATAAATGTAATTAATTTAATAGCACCTATCAATTTCGTACTGCAGGGAGTATTATATTTGTCTGTCATTCAGTTATTTATAACATAACACAAGTAATCCAGCAAATATACTGTAAGCAGGTCCATTAGTCTGTCCATCTGCTCTAGTAGACAGCCTGCAGTTCCTGCTTAACAAAAATGCTCCTGGCCGGCTAACTGGAGGGTTAAAAAAGAATGACATATTTGGAGTAATTGGTGACACTTCCTTAGTCTCTGCATGACAACTGAGCATTTTTTTGCAATATGCAGGAATAGATACGGACAGGGCAGAACTGCCTAACTCGATATTCATCATGCAGAGGAAGTCGTAGTTACAGCACTTTGGCTTAAATCTGATTCAATTAAAAATAAATAGTCAAAAGAACAGTAGGACAGACAATAAAAACCATTACTTTTAAAAACATTGGGATTTCTTTGAAACTGTAACTAGCCTTTGCAAATTTAAACACATTCAATAAAGTCCTTACTTTGTTAAAAATAACCTCCAGCACCAGTGTGATGGTTCCTTTAGCAGTTCTTCCCAGGTCTTCTTTCTTCAGGAGCAGACAGATCTGCTGACCGTTTTGAACCTAAAAGAATTTTCAAATACAGGTAATGGTTAGTAGAGAGATTTTCTTTTTTTTTTTATGTAGAAAATTTCAAAAACTTACCGTCAGTAAAGGGATTGCTAGTTTTCCCAAAAGGTTTGGGGATTTGTCACCGTTTTCATCAAAGACATTCACCTCCACTACATCATGAATGTCCTTTATAGGGCTTTAAAAACACAGATTAATATACATGAACTAAAAATATAGCTTACTGGATTTACTTAGGTCATCTTACAATGTAAAGGTCTTGTTCCACTCCGGATTGACTGTCCTGTAAACAGTGTGAGTTTGAAGTTTGCAGTTTCCTAGTTCGATAACACAGAAGGAGTTGGTTTTGCTTCCTTGTCGTGATACATAGAAAAAATACAATTTACATTGTGTCTAATGTTACACAGATGAAGGACCACATTCAAATGTGAGTTCAACTGAAAATTAGACAAAAAAAAAAACTAAATAGGTTTTTTACTTTAAAGGAGTGTCTCGTGCTTAGGCAATTAGTAAATCAATCTTGTCATTTACAGCATCTTTTCATCTGATGGAAAGGGCGTATCATCTTGACACCAACAGTCTGGGTGACGGAAGCACTTTTTCCAACACATACTGCCTTTAATTAAATAAGCTCAGCACATAACTCAAAGAAGCAACTGAAATAAATACGGGTACATAAGCTTTACATTAAAGTGATGAGGATTAATCGCTAAACTTCAAGGGTCAATATTAAAAGGTCCACAAAGATAAACTATTATAAATTCATTCCAATTAGTGTCATTTTTCTCATTTGATTTAATAGGTGGGGATTTATCAGGTCAATAGTTGAGACTTAACAAACTGGGCCCTATGAGGTTTACGGGAAGACGTTTGCTTTGAGGATAAGGGGTGAGCGCTTCTAAATGAAGCTCAGCACATTCGAACTTCTACTACTGTAGCTACAATCCAGGAAAATAGGATGAAACCGAACATGGTAGTGTTAAACCTTTGAATTTGACTAAGTTTATAAACTTTGAAACACAATCCGGCATCAATAAATATTCCACAAAGATAAAATGCATCGGATGGATAATTGAATAGCTTCATGTTCGTCTTTTCTAGTGAAGCATAATTGTTTGATTGCTTTAAGCGGAAATGGTCAAGTATACTTGAACTTACAATGGCACTATGAGTTTAAGAGGTTTGTTAGGGCACGCAAACTACTTGTTGTATGTGTTTATATTTGTGCTTCTATCGAAAGTGTTTTCCAAGTTATAACCTGTATTTAAAATTTAATAAAATTGATTTTCATTTTATCTTCAAAACTAACAAAGTAGATGTGCAATCAGGATAGAGCAATCACATTCCATGATTGTCCCTTTCCCTTGAGACCCCACCTGCAGAGGTTCCTGGTTGTCTTGAAATTGATTGAAGTCAAACTGCTCTCTCCACTGGGGATTCGGTTGAATGCAAAGGTTCTAAAGCAAGGCAAAGACCCATTTTTAGCTCATACAATAACAAATCATGCAGATGTATACACTTTGATGGCATGCCTGGTTTAATGCTTTATTACACCAAGTTATCTCCCTTTTGACACAGGGACAAAGTCTTTGTTCAGCCTAAACCGAATAAAGCAAGAGAAAGAAGGGGTGTGTGTGTGTGCGTGTGTATTGAGTTGTGAGCGCTTGTACGGGTACACCTCGGTTGCCACTCTGGGATTGTAAACACTGACAGCTTCCAATTAGAATCAGCTTTGTTCAACAAACAAACAAGCAGAGAGGAAAGCGGAGTGGTTTACAAAGAAATGACATGGCAACATGAGACGAGTACACCGTAGAATTGTCTTGGGGGGGTAGGGGGTGGGAGGGTCGATGGTAGGGTGGCAACAACAAACACAGGTAAGACGAATAGGGCATGCTGGGTATGTAAATGAAGGCAATGAAGCCCAGCACTTTGTAGCACACTGCGAAGTGAGTGGCAGCCGTGCCCGGTCTAATGAGCTCCCTCTGCAATGGCCCAGTGAGCCAAGGTGGAGGTGATTCACTGATGGGCACCTGCTGAGGAAGAGGAGCTGGGAAGTATAGAGAAGAGAAAAGCTAGAGAAGTAAAAGAAAAAGGGGGAGGATGGTGGAAGGAGAAAAATAATAAAAAAAAAAAAAACAACAGGCAAACCTTGCTTTTGTATTTCTGATCACCGAGGCGAAAGCGGACATAGACGTCACCCTGGCCATACTGTGGCAGGTCTTGTCCCTCCACCAGGGTGATGTGAAATACACCGGACCACACTTGGTTCTTCAGATTATTCTTTGGTAGGTCCGATGTGCGTGGAGTTTGGTTCTGGTTTTGCTGCTGTTGGTCAAAGATAACACATGAGTAAAAAGCCTTGAAATAAATATCCTTTTGTAGCATGTTTTTATTATAGGTTTAAGAGAGCCCAACCTATCTTAATATATTTATTCACTGTAGGAAAACCAGTTAATGCTTAACATCATATCAGGAACTATGACAGGGCAACAAGCTTTAGAAAGCAGCAGATTACTTATCGCAGGATTCCTCAATTTCAGCCTTGGAGATCAAGTTTCTCTGCTTCAACAAACCAGAGTCAGATATTCAGGCCATTAGAAGGACTCTAGAGAACTTGGCTGCATAGTGAGGAGGAAACTCAGGCATTCGATTCAGGTGTGTGGAAGGAGAGACACATCTGAAAGGTGCATGACACTGGACCTTGAGGACTGGAATTGAGGAACCCTGACTTGGAGTGCTTGGTTTAACAAATAAATGGATCAAATTTTGAAAACAAAATTCCTTGTATGACCTAGCAACAAAACCCAGAACTCTAATTGGTGCTTAAAACATTTTCAAGGCTAACCTAAGAATAAACCCTTGTAAAACTCAAAAAAGAAACAGCAGCTTAAAATGCGCTTTCACCAAAAGATTTACACAACAGACAGACATGTTGGCTCCTCTCAAATATATGCCTAATTTTTTATTATTTTGTGCTTTTCATAAGTAAATAAATCTATATAATGTCATACGAAAATATAATGAAGTTTCATAGAGATAAGAGAATTTGAATGCAAAAATAGTCTGCAGAAAAATATACAAAGGAGCATAAAAAGCAGCTGCAGGCCAGCTGCTAATGTTACAAACACAAAAGTGCCAGTTTCTCCAAAACACAAACTCATTGCCTAATTACCTTTATAAAATGTATTTCACAAAATGACCTGTGGCTTAGTTTCTGACAACTATACAATGATGCAGAAAAATGTATCATTGCTGCTCTTTAACAAAACAATTAAATCGCCAAACTGTAACATTTTCTCCTGCTTTAAAACAACAAACATCAAAAAGTATGTTATAGACCATCAAAAAAAAAGTATTTATTGCAGTACAAGTAGTTTTTTGCAGTTTAGCAATACCTAAACTTAGTTCTAGGACAAACATATCAAAAGATGTAAACTATGCTAAGAAGTACTGTAATTTGCAAATCATCTGTTCCACAGGGGTATAAAACAACACAGATGCTAATTGCCCTTAGCCACTGGTAAAAAGGCAGGTTGGGACCGATAGCTATGTGGCACCACACACATTGAGAAATAGAGTAATAAAAGTTTAAATGCAAGTTAAACTTTAGAGCTCATCTTGACCTCACCAAGTCTCTCATAACACATCTACATAACGAATCGTGGTTTGAGAGTGATCTAATAAAATCTTTTCCCAAACTTCTATCAGGAAAAAATAAATAAATAATCAAAACTATTTATTTTTAAGAGTGAATATTTATTTTGTTGGATTTGGCACAATACAGAGAAAGAATATGAGGGAAAGCCCTTCTTGCTCAGTGTTAAGCCTGATGATCTCTGGTCAAGTTTTTCTAGCCAGCCTTATTAGGAAGCAGAGCATCATATTTCTCCATTTCAAAACTTACTAAAACTTTTTTTTTTTTTTTTTGATTTTCAAAAATGATAATGATCTAACTGAAATAGTTAAATAATCAGAAAGTGTTCAATACAAAAAATAGTTCTTTCATGTTACAGATTTTTCACATCTTTAATAAATGTGTCTTAGAGGGTATTTCATTTATTTACTTATTCATACATCCTACTGCTTTAAAACAACACCCTATCGTGTCAACTGTGTGCATGAAAGTAGGACAAAGGTTTACATTATACAGGGCTAGCTCTTTTGGAGCACATTAGCACATCTCTACTGACAAGTAAGGCACACACCATGGAGGCTCCTGGAAAGGCAGGAAGAGAGGACCGTCAGCAAACAGCCAGATGTCCCTGGCTGTGACAGTCCCACTCATCACTGCCTCCCAGACTGAGTGTGGGGAGGCAGGACACTTGGCATACTGCAGCAGAGACAGCAGGCAGCCGTGAGTAATGACGCTAACCGCACAGCTCTCTCATCAGCAAATTATACATACATGCAGTATGTATGGACGGCATTAGAGTCCACTGCAAACTGACCAAGATATCCGCTTTAAATTAATAGCAGGGTCAAAACACTTTTCTACATTTTGTTAGTCCACAACATATAGAAAAGGCAAATTTTCGTATAAAAATGGATGGATGAATGGATGGATGCTGCAATACTAAAAAATTGTTTTCAGAAGCATCAGCAAATAAATAAACTAATAGACAAAACAGCGATGACTGTTTTTGCTGTGTGAAGCAGAGGAAGCAGAGAGGAAGAGAGGCCTTGATGTGTTTCCATGTTGGAGTTCCCGTGAGGGCGTGCGGTGATAGGCCAGGGCTGTAAAAACAAACAGCACAGAGGTTGTGTAGAGCTGACTGTAATTAAAGAGCAGGAGCGTAATCTGCTCCAGCCTCTTTGATTGCCTCACTCCTTCGGCTGCCCGGGCGACGCCGCTTCAAACGGCCTTGCTGCAACTCCCCCTGCCACTCAGGGGGGGCCGCTCCTCATCGCTATGGGGTCATAACCCACATTGCCACCCAATCCTGAGGGGATCAAAGCATATCTCAGGGACCTGAATTAACATGGAATACCACAGGCACAGCCCTATAAATATCAGCCCCTTCAAAAGAAGAGGAACAAGAGGGAGTAGAGGGAGCGATATAAAACAGGCCTCAGCCAAGTCATCCCGAGTGTTTATCTTGGACACATTTCTATCTCAGCGGCCAATAAAACAATTCCACTTAACTATAAGTGGCCCCTAAAGAGAATCTATTCCTGGTCCTAAAAGGGTTGCACGATTGCTTCCATATGGTGGGACAGCATGGGGACAAGTATGATGAGCTCAGACCCTGGTCCATTTGGCTGGTACCTCAGCACTGTCCGTCCACAGCTGTGATATTACATTCTAACATCTGGATTATTGCCCACCATGCCTGGGAATTATCAGCCCTGCCGATCTTAGGCATCCCACACTGGCAACGTGCCTCGAACAGTCTGAGCACACCACCACCCACCCTTCGCTTCTCCGCTTCTCCCACACGCCCCCTCCTGTTTGAAACACTATCACACAGCAGAGTTTTAGTCAGGCACTTGCCATTACCGGTCTCTGTGGTATCACAGAGGGAGAAAACGATGTTCCATAGCAAGGGGAGCTGAGCTGTAAGACCAAAAAAGGTGTTAAACGCAAAAAAAAAAAAAAAAAAAAAGATACTGTAGGTTTCTCAAAGAAGAAAAAAAAATTGGGAGAGGGAAAAACAAAAAAAGCATCGTTACATTCTTAAATTAGCAGTCTGATTTAAGCAGGCAGAACATTGTGTATAGTCCCACTGCACATTTCTGCCTCCCTTTGAGTATCTTTAACCATCTGCAACGGATAACCGACAACGCTGAAGGAAAATGGCATTCATTTCTTTGTCATCTCATTTCAAATTGAGATTGTCTGCTGGACCATCAAGAGACTGAACAGTGGCAGATGTAGTGACAGCATAGGTGTGAAGATAAACCCACTCGCTGCAGAGCGAGTCCCAAGCAGCAACCCTCCAATTTCACTCTGAATGTAATTACAGCCGCAGCATAGCAGAAAACACTTCAGGGGGAAATGAAACTTTGTTTACTACTAAACAAAATACTCCAATGGTATAATTATTATTGTTTTTTTTTTGTTTTTTTTTACAAATTGACAACAATTTCACAGTAAAAAATTCTGGTTTGGATATATTGAGATTCTGTTACATTTCTAAAACACTTATATAGAAAATATTAATTATGAAAGAACTTAATCAAACATCTTCTGAAAGCTCTGGCTGTCCTGGGGTTACACACAAAAGGGATCCACAACATACCCATAATTCTTTGTTTTGCTATTTCACAGTGAGCTAGTGCCCCCTAGTGGTGTTTTTGTTTGAAAAAATAACTTATATTAAAGAAAAATTTCAATTAATGAATGCTACAATGATTGCATTCTGGATATATATATGTTTTTTTTTTTGCATAAAAAAATATAGATATGCAAGTACTTACTTTCTTTTTTGGACGGAATCTCTAAAATGAAAAGATAAGCATTCATTAGTAAGAGAATATGCTCTGAGGGTAAACGGGTTAAAATAACAGATGTGTTACATACAGGGCCTCTTTTCACTGTGGCATCTCGGAACATCAAGCGGACTTCGACAATGATGACTCCCATGTCGGATTCTTTGCTCTTAGGGTCCTCAAGCCGCAGCTCCAGCTCATGTGTTCTAGCGGAGGACAGTATTAAATCCAGTGGTCACTAATGGATTTGAATTGAATCGTGAAATGCATCGAAAGTGTGTTTATCAAGTACTCACTTGTGCAACTCAAGGTTTCTCAGAGAAATAGTGGCAGAACCCATGAAGTCATCAGCTGTGAGATTTTTATCGTAGACCTGCAGCAATATAATTTATTAAATATAGTCTCCAAAAATTTCAAATGTTACCAGCTTTAACTTTTCTTCAACTAATTAGGGAAACTATTCTAATGTTCTTTAAGTGTTGAATGAATGAACCCTACCCGAAGTTCCACATCGTGGTCTTTGTCTCGAAGAGGATGAGAGAAGGACTCGTTCCATCGTGGATTGAGGTCCTTGTAAACCACTTTACTTTTATAGAACTGCTTTCCTTCAAGTTTGAACTTCACATAAGGATCACTTGTAGCTGAAATTAACAAAATTAACAAACTCATTATGGCATTGAGAAATGATTTCATAATCTCTGATTTAATAATACAAGAGATTTTGCTAAAGCAAACATTATTAAGCATGTGTATTCACTGTGTGTAGGGAAATACACCCCCTTCCCCCATGATAATTATGTGAGCACTGTCATTTTGTGTGCAGGACGTGTACCCCACACATGGCGAAACCAGGAAAGTAGCCGTTTAATTGTCAAAAGAGTAGAAACACTCGCCAGCATGAGGCGACCAGAACCCCAAAATCGAGAAGCAACCAGTGTTAATCTCCCAAGCCTGTTAAGAAAGTCCGTCTGGGAGCGGGGTGGGGGTATCGGACTTCTTTGTTTCTGCAATTGCACGCAGATTGGCCAAAAAAATGAAAGCCAGCCCCATGCCTTCATTTGTATAGAGGGGGAATAAAGGGGTGCTTGAGAGGGCCTGCGGGGAGGCTTGAATCACATGACAAAGGCCCTGTGGGGATGGGCTGTCAGGCCTGTCAGCTCCCCACTCCAAATGAACATCTCGCAAAGGCAGGCAGGACCCACAGCAGCTCCACCCTGCCAGTCCGTGACAGGGAAACCTCCAGGCAACTTGACAGGAGGAGAATGTGGCAGCTAGCACGGTGAAAAAGCTCTGGCATCAGTGAGAATGGTGACGATGGAAATTAATGGGGGAATGAAAAGAAAAAGAGTGGAGAACAAAAACCCCAAGGAGTGGGGGGCTGGTGGTGTAAGTCCCTTTCAGAATATGCAATGATGAAGTATGCCATTGGTGGCCCTTTGGCACAGTGCTGATTGTTGGGCAAACAGTGCGGAGGCAGGGGGCGTGTATGGGCATTGCATCATCATTGTGCCATATTGTCATGAAGTGTAAGATCTCAACTAACATGAGACACTACACTTTGAGGGTCTTCCTTTACCCACCATGATGAAAAAATAAAATAATTCAACAGTGACACAGTTTATGGTAAACAGAGGACAAGACTACTAATGAATTGATGCTGATTCAGTAAAATTTCACTCCTTAAATAATTCTCCCAGTATTAAAAGGGAAGTTTCTCTTTTCATTGAAATAATTCCCCGAAATATTTCAGCAAATTATTCTTCAGGTCACACAACTATTATCTGCTCATAGTCCTGTAGTTTCATTTTAAACCACTAGAGGAGGATGTTGCTTAAAAAGTTAAAAATAAATAAATAAATCACATACGAAGTTTCTCGGAATTTCCTCCCTTGGAGTTTAAAGATTTATCTAAATAAAATATTTTTGAGAGATAATTTCAAAAACCACAGATTGGCTCACTTAAAAGATTCCCTTTTAAAATATTACATGGTTATCTGGATTTTATTTTTCTTTATCATGCACTATGGTTGTAGAGTAATTAAAAACAAAATAAGAATAGACTACAACTCTAAGAGAAAAAAATTATAAAGGCCATTAATGTGATAAAAGTGGATTTAATTTGTGTAACACTGATGTTGGCAAGGCTCCTTTTATTTAAAAAAAAAGTTTGTTTTTTTTTACCACAAAAATAAATAAATACAAATAAACAAATATGAAATCTTATTATCATTTGTTGCATTCAATTGTTGAAATAATTATTGGATGATATTTAAATTCTTTTAGATGTCAATGAATGAAGATCAAGGTAATAATGTAACTTTTTAAAAGGGAAATATTTTAAGTGAGCCAATCTATGTGTGTTTGTTGTTTTCTCTCAAAGTATTTTATCAAAATGTTACATGATTATAAGGATTTTCTTTCATTTACATCTCAATAAATTTAAATATCATCCAATAATTGGTTTATTTAAACAATTAAATGCAACAAATAAAAAAAGGTTTTCTATGTGTTTATTTGATTCAAAAGTTACAAGGTAAAAAAACTATTTTTTTTTATAAAAGGGAACCTTGCTAACATCAGTGTTACACAAATTAAATCCACTTTTATCACATTAATGGGTGTTATTATTTTTTACTTTGAGAGTTTTATTCTTATTTTGTTTTAAGTTATTCTACAATCATAGCGCACGATAAAAAAAAAGAAAATGTCATGCCACGCTGTCAAAACCCAGAGAGGAGTGATATCTATTCATTGCACACACACACAAATATATAAATAACTGAACTGTTTTAATATCTAAATCCTAATGGTCACAACAGAGAAAAGTAAAATATCCACTTTCTCAAAAAATTTGAAAAAAGACCATTAAAAAGGATATTCAATATAAAAAAAAACTCAAGGCTGTGAGGAGTTTGGTGAGGGATTTGAGAAAGAATATTGGTTGGCCTCAAAGACATTAGGGTAAACTGTCCAAAGGATGGGAGCCGTGCTTCACTGACTCTTTACACAGTAGGGCTGGACAGCAGCTAATCAAGCACATTGTCAGATGGTGGAAAAAAACATTTTGAGGTTTTCCCTAAACCTGCTACTAAGCCTTTCCTAGTCGACATGGTGTTTTAACATCCAGACTCAATGACAAGCTTACATGCCCAAAATTTCCAAGATCTGATTTAGAACATTTTTGAGCTGATCAGGCCTTCAATCAAGATATCAATCAAGACACCTGTGTCCATGTAAATGTAGCTACAGAGGTTGTCAAAACCTCTGTGGTGCCAAGGCTTGAAGAGGAGGTGAGAGCCCCCCTGGGAACCTAAGGTAGTGTCAGGCTGATGTTGCTGACAAGCCTCTCCGCCAATCAGGGACTAACCTGGCCAGGCAGAATCATTTTAACCTTGTACATGCCAGATTAGTCTGAAAGGACAAGGTAGCGCCAGATTTAGAAGGTGAGAATAACATAATAGTGTTAGCAAAAACAGTGTAGAACCATTCATAACTGCAAATGAGAGGCAAAACCAGCAAATTCTTGTTGCAATTTTAACAATATAAAAAACTGATTCAATAAAAGGGCATCATTAAAACATCGCTCTGTTGTGGCAGCAATCTTGACTGTTATGGTTACAGGAAACTGCTGCATTGTGGGCCCACCGCCAGTGTTGATTGATCCGGTCTGATTTAGACCAGAGAGTATTGAACCTTACTGGCCCGGCTAACTAAAGGCTAACCACACTGGGGTGGTGGAAGTCAGTTCTAGAGTTCTCTGCTAACCTGAAACGCCTCAGGTTTCCCCCAGAGTAGCAGAAGGAAGTATTTGGGGAGAAGTCTGGACATATCCACTAAGACTGCTGCGCCCACGACACAGTCTTGAGTAAACCGAAAGATGACGTGTGCAACATTGCATCATAGCCGGGTGTTAAAGATTTTGTTATCCTGTGAGTTTGCCAGGTTTTAAGGAAGCCTGGGATTCCTTAAGAGTAGCCTTCATGTTGTCATCATTGTTTGGTCTATTATGTCTCATTTCCTACTCAACAATACTTTATGGATTCTCTTGAGGGTTAAGGTCAGACCAGGTCACTGGCCAATCGAGCACAACAATACGACACCAGCACACCAGATACTGGTACTTTCAAAAATATTAGTAGGTCCCAAATTCTATTAGAAAATAAAACCAACATCTCTTATAAAGGTTATCAACAGAGAAGCATGGCATGCTATAAAATCCCTTATGGTCTACTGCTCTAAAATTAAACATGGTTGACCTGCAAATGCCGAGCATTGTTCAATATTGAACACCACAAAGTGGAAGTCAAGATAGTTGATCATCTTTACTTTTCCCCTGACTCTTACTCTTTGTTTTCCTTTTTTCAATAAAATGCTAAATTAGCTTTGATCTGAATAAAATGGTAAAGCAAACAACCACCAGCTCAGCTGTTTCCAGCCTTTTCTCCTTATTCCATGTTCTAGTGGGTCTCAACACAAGAAACTTAACAGTTGCAGCCTGTTTCCTGGGTACATCTGTATTTATTAGCCCTCCAACCTCAGCCCAGCTGATGACAATATGACTTTCTTCCAAAATCCTCAATGGACATTTTCCCAGTTTTTCCTTTCAATCAATTTTCTGTTAATACATTTGGATACAGCCTTTGAACAGTTAGCACCTTTAGCAATGTCCTTTAGAGGTTTTCCTAAATTTGGGAGGGTGTTAGTGACTAATGAACAACTCTCAAATCAGCAGCCTCTTTACACGATGAAAATAAAATTAACAAACATGTTGAAGATAACATGTTTGAACTTTTTCTGATTACTCTTATTCTAACAAATTCCAAAGGGGATTTAGTTTTCATTAGATGTCAAACATAATCCTCAAAAACAACAGAAATACACTTGAATTATGTCAGTCATTATTTTCCAGTTTGTGTTTTTTTTTTTTTTTATTATTAAATTGAACTAAATTAACAAGGATTATATACAATACTGAAATTTCCCTGTAATGGTTTTCCCTAAGTTTAAATGTAAAATTTCATGAAAAGAATGTTCACATTGAATATCAATAAATAACAGCAGAAAAGCAAGAAATTCTTGCACTTCTCGCACATAACTGTTGACAGCATAAGAGAAACACGTTTCCCTTTTAAGTCTACCAGCAAAAGATGTTAAAATGATTTGTGACTTGCACCGACTGCATTATTGTTTTTTTGAAATACAAGCATCTGCTCTGGTGCAGGCTGTGTTTTGTCATACAGGTCTAACTGCATAGTTTTAAATGTTTTTTGTGTCATTCTCCCAGCAAAACTGCAGTAAAGCCAAGCCCAAACACACCCTATTCTTTCATAATAAGGCTTTTCCAATGTGAAACTTTCCATTGTTAGCTGGCTAAGAATTACAAATGTATACAGTTTTTTGTCGACATGCACCGTTTCATTAAAGACTAGCCCTTTAGCTATCACCAAAAGACATCTCAGACAAAAAGGTTAATTTGTTTGGTTGGAAATGGGACCTTTGTGAAAAGTTCTAAACTTATGTCTTTTGACCTAACCTAACCCTGCAGAAGAAGTTTTAATATATGAAAATTTTTAATGAGGGGCATCTTGGGGACCTACCAGAACGCCTGCTTCTGACGACCAGATTACGGCCACACTTTAAGTTAATACTCAGCAGGTACCTCTGGAACGGGGAGGGTGACTGAACATCAGGGCCTGTGCACAAGATATCCTGTGGAGAACCCACAGTTCAATGAACATGGCTGGTTACAACAGTTGCTTGGCATATTTCAGTGCAGGAAACTCACAAGTTCTTCTGTTGGGTCTGTAATATTTTCATCAAAGTCTTCGAAGGCTTCTGCAGAGTTCTAAATAAGAAAGATCAAATGTTTTAAACAAACATGAGTACATCTGAGTACCCTCAAAAATAGACATTTAAACCCATATGTATTTGCCAAACTATATTACGAGGGTTTTAGCAGTAAATGACATTTTTTTTCCATCCCTTTTTCTCACATGGTAGAAAGGTTTGAATCATATTGTGTAACTGACTTGTTGCACAGGTTTGTAACTGGTTTCGTCACGGTACCTGAGAGACGTTAAAGGACAAAAAAGGTTGTTGTCACGTGATTAAATCCAAGCTAAACCTCAGCTGGTCATTACAAAGACCTAAGGAGGTTTTTTTTTTGTTCTTTTATATATATATATATATATATATATATATATATATATATATATATGTGTGTGTTAGGCCTTAAAATGGCTAAAAAAAGAGAATTTAGAATTTAGAAAAGTGAAATAAAATTAATAATAAGAAGCTCAATGTATGCTTTATGTTGATTCACATAGGCCTTCATTAGTGGAAAATACGCAAATCACAAAATTTGTCTATAATACAAACAAAATCACTTATATTCAAAAAATACTTTACTAAACACAAAAGGAAATTAAATTGAACTACTACTTTTTCTACTTTTTTCATATATTAATACAAGAAACTGCACTTTAAAACATGTCAATTAGGTATTTTCTAATCTGCCCCATAATTTCCAAATAACTTCATCCAAGTAGGGATGTCATATATATTTTTGAAGCAGTAAGAATAAAAGGGATGGCTAGTGTGAGTTATTTAAAAAAAAAAAATCACAATTTAACAAGGGTCTTATAACTTGGTCAATTATTCAAGATATGAAAAAACAAAGAAACTTGTATGACTAACCTCCTCTAGAGACTCATCTGCGTTTTCCAGGTCAAGAAGACCCTCATCCATTGAGATTTCTCTCAGCAGAGAGGAAGAGGATGTTTGTTCAAGGTCTTCCTCCTCCCAGGTCGTTGGCCAGGACATGTTGACTTGTTCCTCACTAGGAGTGCCACAGGCAGAATAAAGAGATGAAGCATCTGCATTGTCAAATTGAGCATCGTGTAAGGACAGCCTTTCTGCGGAGGAGTTTGGTCGGCTTGTTTGTAAAACGAGCTTTTCAAACACTGGCTTTCTTGTGTCGAACATCACGGTCCTCTTCTCAATGTGAGGACGTCTTTCATCTCCCATGGAACTTGCTCTGGGGATGAGTCCCGCAACGACATCAGACATCCTTCTGCGAGTTTGAGGCTTTTCATCAGACAGACTCTCCTTCTCCCCTTGGTCGCTTTCTGGTTCTTTAATGTTCTCAAATACGAACTTTTGGATGTTTTTCATGGGCTTTTTATCCTCTTGAGCAGAAAGGTTAAGATCATCATTCCTTTGGCTTTTTGGGCTTGAATTCTTCAGGAAGATCCCATCCTCATAGGCTGGAGGAGCACTTAATCTGCTTGGCGATGAAACTGGAGCTTTACGCAGATGAGACCTGTATTGAATCTCTGAGAGAGACTCAGTGAATTTCTCGGCAAAAAGCGGTCCTTCAGGGATGGAGCTGCTAGCAATCGAATCTGTATCACTCATACCAGGAGAGATCCCAAAGTAGATGGCCTCAGAAGGGGAAGGCAGTGCAGCACTTTCAGTAGAACTCGCTTCGCCTGGAATAAAGCTTAGATCTGGTACAGAAATGCTCCGGCGATTGGCCAGATTCCTTGGCTGTTTGGCAAGCAGCTTTTTACGTGGCTTCTTGATGTTGGGCATTTTCGTTTTTAGACGAAAATTTTCCAAAAATTTCTTTCTTCCTTCCATTTTAAGTAATACCTGTCAGACAAACATAGATAAACCTGATTAAAAAAATATATTTTTCTCCCACACAGTTTGCCATAATGATGATAAAACTACAGGATACCCAAATACCCAAATAGGAACTCAAGCAGTGATGACAAAAGAGTTTGTGTTGTCAAAATAAAATTTACAATCCCTCTTAAAAAATAACATATTCAATCATATGTACACTTGATAAATACCAGAGTTGGTTTCAGTGTCCTAATGGGGGTAAACAAGTGATTAGCAATAAATATTATTGTCAAAATAATGGCCACAAATCTTCAAAATAAAATGTTGATATTTAAAAGCACATTATTCCAAAAATAGCTTTACATCACTTAAGCTTTTTAATTTTGCTTGTATTTGTTATGTTCTGAGTTAATAAAAAACCCAATTAGGAACTTTCTATATCACTTTTTGCTCTTCAGGTTAGATTTCTGGTTACCTCTAACAATATATTTTAGCATATTACAAATTACATTTTAAGAATTATTATTTCTTTCTCTCATTAAGGTGATGATTGTAGGAACTCTGCCTTTTAAAAACATTTTTATCAACAAACTTAAACAGAACAGTGTAACCTGTTAATTTAACTCCACAATGCACAGATCATGATTTTTTTAATGGAGAATATATCAAAAGACCAAAAATCCAACAGGACCACTCTTTTGGGATTCTTTCACTTAAATTTAAAAAGACAAAATCTAATTTACCTGTTCGGTCAACCTCTTCGCAACAGCTTGACAGAGACACTGAGTTTGTTTCCTACCGATCCACAATTTTTTTTTTTACCTGCAGACATCTCAACAATCCTAACTATGGTGAGCAACAGGCTCTGCTTCAGGAAGCACACTAGCTGATTGGTGGGAGAGCCGCACTGGCTGAAACTAGCTGTTCCAGTCACACAAGTCCCAGTTTCAGTGACTGATGTAAACCTGCCTAGGCCTTCCTCAGTTATCTATAATGGACAGAGCTGCAAACTTGTGTTCTGTGAGATCAGAAAGCATCTGAATGAAAGAGATCAAAACAACACTGAAACAGTTATATGTTTGCTCACAGTAAGCCTGTTGTTGATTTGCATAGTTGACGGTTTATTTGCATATGGGACCATTTCCCTGCTCTTAGGCATGCATACAACATGGTTTCCTAAGTTCTCTTACTGCAAGTCCAAGTGTCTAAAAATATAGCTTCTTAATTCCGACATCTACAGCAGAGCTGTCCAAAGCAATCCCAAAATACGTCTGATTGATTCTGCAACATGACTGAGGCATATGAAATGTCATAGCAGATCTCACCCAGTTTCACACAGATACACATTTGTTTACATTGGAATACTGTGAGCCTAAGCTCCTCCAAACCGAGCATTTGTGTTTGTGAGGTATAAACTTCAGCTCTGTGTCCACACAGACTCTAATGCAACAGACCAACTGCTGTTTTTCTTCTTTTTTTTTTTCCCTCTCCTCAATCTCTGCCCTAACCGTGGCAACTAACATGAGAGCAGATGTGTTTGATTCTGGGCAGAGACTTGTTCAATATTTGCTGATGTCTTAAGGAGATCAGGCCCACATGAAAGAGCTGCAACTTGGCTTCTAGTTAAAAGGCAGGTTTTGGTATCTGAACAGGGGCCAGATCCCCTACGGACGGCAGGTGGCCTCAAGGCCTGCATATCACATCAGTCAAACAATGGAAAAACCTTGCACGGTAGCCCTGCACATGCACACTGGATGCAATCCAAGCAAAAACACAGCTGGTCTCATGGAGAAAAAGCCTAAACATTCGGCATTTAAAGCATAAACACAATTCTTGACAGGCGGTTTAGGAGGCGCATTTGAAGCATATTGAATATATATATATATATATATATATATATATATATATATATATATATATATATATATATATATATATATATATATATATATATATATATATTTAAGCGATATCTGACACGGTTGGATTTTTTTCAAATTAACATCCACCTCATTAAAACATATAAACAACTTTAAAAAAAAATTTCAGATTAAATAGTTTTCGCTCTTGAGAGCTTTTCCAAAAATACTTACGTCTCCTATCAAGCCAGTGAAGCGCTTCGCCTTCCGATGTCACCTGATTTCCGACTACCTGTTGGTTTCTATGGGAACCGTTTACGTTCCAGGTGTAGAGTTTTGACTTCTGCCATGCTATACCGATGCAGAGTGAAAAATCTGGTTCCCTTATTGTTAATCACATTGGTTTAACAAAAAGATTTACTATATATAACAACAACATCATTTGGTTGGCTTTATGCACAATTCTTCAGCTGTCGGGGATGTTTATAAGATTTTCTGCAGGAAATTTGACTTCAATTTCACATTATTGATATTTTTTTAAAGAATAAAGTACCTTAATTCTTTAAAGTATCTTTGAAGTATCTTCAATCTTTAAAACATAGCAAATTGTGCATATTTTTTTCCCTTTTATTGAAATAAAACGATTTATTTATTTATTTATATTTTTTTATTAGAAGTTGATTTCTGTGTAGGCTGCTAGTTGCCGCTAGATGGTACACTTCCTCCATTATAAAAAAAAAAAAAAAAAAAGAAAAATCAAGACCTGACATTTCCAAAGTCTGGAAGATGTTATGTTTTAGACAACACACATGAGTTGCTTTTGTCTTTTTTTTTTTTTTTTATACTTTTTCAAACGGAAATGCAACTATGTTGATCTTAGAAATATCTATAGATTATTGCTGCAGTTGTACAGAAGCTACAGGGTGAAGAAAAGAAAATCTTGTTGGATTTCTTTTCAAGTGTTGTTTTTAGAAGCGAAGTTAATAATAAGTTCACCGTATACTCAGTAATATTAAAAACATATAAAAACAATAGAAGAAATAAAGTGTGGATATACAGTAAATAATACAGTGCTGAATCAGATTTGTTCTACTTGTCTGTGCACACTTTGGTACTTTTTGGGTTCCTCAGCAGTGCTAGTGTTGCACTGATGCCATTTTCTGGCCCCAATACCCGATATCTGGCTGTGCAGTATCGGCCGATACCGTACCGATATCATCTTTTGAATATGTGTGTGCATATATGAAGAACTGCATTCTACTTGGATGTAAAATAATTGCCATCATGGCTTTGTCAAGCTGCTGCCTACCTTAGTGAAGCAGGAAAAAGACTAATACAAAGTGAATCCAGTAGAACTTTTTATTATCTACCTGGAATGGGTGACAAGAGATGAATAAACTTTTGGCTCTCGAAATGGTATCAGTGTCCTATTTCTTGGTATTTGCCGACACCGATACCACCATTTTAGTGCAATATTGGTATTGGTGCAACACTAAGCAGTACAGTATATAACAGTTAATGAACATGAGATTTACACCCAAGACTATCCTACAATGGCAGAAATAAACGAGTTAAGTATTACTCAATATATAATTTGAAATACAGCTTAAATAGGGATGAGCACACTCTGTGCCCTTTTTGTAGAACAGTGACTAAATAAAGGACATGATTCAATATCACACCCTTGTAGTTATTAGGCCAAGAATATTTCCATAGTATTGTTTGCAATTATATTATTCAAATTAACCAGAAGATTAATTTAGGTTTTCAAATATTAAGGTGTTTTCTGCCAAATCTGCCCTTTACCACAATGCTATCCTGTCAGTTTACTGTCACCCAGTCAAGATGGGTTTTATACCCAATTATATGAACTGCGTACTCTTTAACTGTAGTCAGTGGAGAATGTTGCAGTGTGATCATCAGTTATCTCAGTCATGCTGATAAGTTTCTTACCTCAGAACCCATCCAAAGAAATGCCGGTCACCTTACTCTTTTGATTACTCTTCGAATAGAAATGATGGAAATATTTTGTAAAAAGTTATTTTAATTTTTGCTCTCATTTTAGTCTTATAGATAAATCATTTTGTGCTAGATAAGGCACCATCTATACCCCAAAAAATAATGGGCTTTTGGAGAATCATGTCGTCCATTTACCTACTCTTGCGGAACTAATTGAAATGGCAATCAAAACACAAACATCTTGATCCAATAATTGTTTCACTACATGGCTGTTTTCTGGCATATACTTTGAATTTATAATTTCTGCATTTTAATTTTGAAACAATCCCACCCTTCAAAACCACTATTCTTTAAAAGCTGCAGTACAGCCTATGCATTTCATATCCCATCTGTTTGTGAACAAAACATGTCACCCACATACAGTACTCTACACCTTATTTTACTATCTAACATGTTCTGACTCAAATTTTCCATTCAAATCCTATTGCCTCAAAGTTATTGTGTTTTTATTATTTCAAAATAGCATAGATATAAAATTATGCTTCACTTGTGGATGGAAAATTAAAGAAATGTTGATGGTATTATAAACATCCACACAGCATGGTGTAAATTTTCAACAATCCATGCCTGCATACCGATTCTTGAAGATAATTATGTTAAATGTGCTGAATGTAATTTTTTTTATCTCATGTAGCTCTGTCTTTGCTCCACAGGAAGTTGTTTTCCATGCATTTGTTTTTCCTAAACACTACTGGAAAAACACAGATGAAGCTTCTCACTTCAAGTGACTCATTTTCTTTTAGTTTCTCTGCAAGACATGACAGTTAGTACAACAACAGGACCTCCCAGATGTGGAATGCAGCCTTTGATTCACCCCCGCTGTTTATGTCCCAACCTGTCCAAGTGCCCACAGCATGACCGTGCCTTTTATGTACTAATCAGATATTCCAATTTATCTCTTAAGTTAAACTTTTGACATATTGTTTAAGCTTATCATACAGACGAGTTTAGAAAATTACCTATAATTTCCATTGTATGTTGCATAAAAGTCAAAGGGAAAAACAAAAAACAAAAAAAAACAACGGTTATGTTGAATATAATGTCACAGAGTTTAGGTGGAAATTTTCATTTCACTTTGGAATTTGTGCATCTTTGTTTTTAGGTATATGAAGAAAACTTCCCATTCATGTTTTAAATCAGCAAAGCTGCTCAATTATGCCCGCAAATAATATGATAATATAAAAAGCACAAACAGCTCTGTTGCAATTAACTTTGTTTTGAAGACCCAACCAGGAAGCCAACAACCTACAGTACTGTGTGTATAGTTTATTGTACTGCTGCGCCTCCTTCTGGTAAGTTTATGGAAATGCATCAATGTCTGCAAGCAGGTACCAACATAGCTTGCCACTAGAGGCCACCTTATGCATATTACTGTAAAGAAAATTAATTTAAATTGATAAATTATATTTATTTATTAAACACAGTGATGCATCTCAAGTAGCCTATTTATTTCTGCTTACTGGTTCACAGCTAGCATATATTTGTTATTGTTTTATTCTTATAATTGATCCATTTAGAAATAAAAATTAAATATTCTCAGTTTACAACACAATCGTTTGGCCTTATTATGGCCTACATTTGACATTTTGTTGATTATAAACATCCTTCCATCTTATAGCATAAGCCATGGACAAAAAGATGCGCAGACAGAGTTGAGACTGAGCATACACTGAGGTGTTTAATAAAGTTGACAGTTTATACTGTTTGGGACTTCACAGAAGAACAAATTCTATGAAAGAGTTGTTTACTTCATATTATACAGAATAAGAGAGGGAAAAAAAACAAATTAATTACACATGAAAAAAGCCAATATTTGCACTTTTTGTGTGGAATACAAATTTTGTACAACAACATCTAGCATAGTTTCATAATTGTTCAATAGAAAGTTCACTTGAATAATTATTGTATGTTTAAAAATAAAATAACACATTCAAGCAAAAAAAAAAAAAATGCAGATTAACTTAAAATCTATTTCAATTTCAAAACAAATAATTTCATCATTGGCAACAAAGTCCAGCTTGTGCCGCCAAACTGCCTTGAGCGCTCAAGACCGAAAACAGCTTCTTTATTTACGTGAACAATCAACTACAGACACTTACCAAACATTTAGTTCTGTTTATAAAAGCCATGGAGCAAAGCGATGGATTCTTGAACAGCAAGGTAAAGAAACTCCTCTTCAGAGGTTCATCGATAACCCTTTCCTTTCACATTCATCTGTTGTGCACAATTTGGATGAGGAATAACAGAGCAACGTGTATCACTGTGCATTCGCCATGCTTCTTCGTATGTGTGTCTGTGGTGAGGAGAGGCAGATCTGGTCCCACATAAATGATGTTTGCATTGCACTTCCTTAAATGAGAGAGAATAAACATGGTGCAATTTCTCTTTGGGATAAGGCATTTCCTAACTGTGCATATAGGTAGAGCGACTACAAAATTCCCTGATATGTCATCGAGTGCTAAAAAAATGTGCTCAACTATGAGGCGCTGCTGCCAAGACAGGCTGATGGTTTCTGTTGAAGTCATTCATTATTGCTATTTTCCTCTGCTGTGTTAAACTGGATTACAATATGAATAACTGGAGTCAGTGTGTATAACGTTTTTTGCAAATATAATAAAACTGCTGTTTTTTTTCACATTTTGTCACATTAACTCCACAAACCTTAATGCATTAAACATATATGCGATGTAACAGACCAACAAAGTGGTCTAAAATATTTTTTTCTCTTTTTTGAAAATTAAACTATGAAAAGTTTGGCCTCGATTTGTTTTTGTATCTAGAAGTCTCCTTTTAGAGTCCATCTGGGAGTAATTTAGGAGAGCATAGAGCATTAATCAGGGAAGCAGCCTCTCTGAAAGAAGCACAGAGAGCCACAGAGCACTCTCAAAAATGGACTTGTAAAAAAGTCAGTAAGAAAGCCATGAAAAAATTTAATCAGAGTTGTCATTTGTAGTCTGTAGCGATCTGAGTGGAACAACGAAAAAAGGTAGAAGGATGCTGCTCTGGACAGATGAGATCAAAACGGAAGTTTTGGTCCTCATGCGCCTAATACACCATCATTTGGTTAAAACACATCATTTGCAGCGTTATCCAAATGGGATGTGTTTTTTTTAGCAGAGAAAGGGAAACTGAGTTAGTTCCTCATCTTCTGAGAAGATAACTCAAAACATAAAGTCAGGTTGCGATGGAATACGAAGGAATGAGAGCTCAGGCTGGTATGGAAACTTCCTGAAACACTTTCTCCAACCTGGCTGAATTTGAGATGTTTGGCAAAACGCTGGTCACTAAATATGAAAAGCCAAAGAGATGCACCTAAAATGATTTGAGGCTCTAACTGCAACAAATTATTGCACCAGAGAAGAAATTATTTTATTTGAATGTTAAAAAAGGTGCAATTTGTGTATCCTTTTTCTTCTATTTCAGAGGCGTTGCATTTTGTTGGTTATTCATATACGACCCCAAGAAATTAAATTTTGTTTGCTTTGTGGCGGCACAATGACAAAATGTGAAAAAGTTCAGGCTTTATGAATACCTTTGCAAATCACCATTAAAAAAAAATAAAAATAAAAATGAGAAGATGGGCCAAACAGATTGATGATCTTAAAATTGTAGTCCAGTAACTTCCAGCTGCGGCACTTTAGAATAGGAGGCTAACAGTCTGACACTCTTTCCCCTGACAGCCTGCAGACTTAGTATGTTTAGTAATGACATCATATATTTCATATTTCATGTGAAGAGGGGTTGACTCTGCATAGATCTAAAATGGTGTAAACCGTGGGAAGGGCGGGGCTGATGGATGCCCTAGGTCATTAACTCACACAAGACAAGTGCCATGGAGAATGCACAGTGAAATCTGTCTCGTACAGCAACATTCTCATACAAATGTGTGCCTCTCAGCAGGAAATGTTGAACTGGTCAGTGTGCTATTATCTGAATTATGGTTTGTGTCTTGTACAATTGAGAATCAAAAAAGCCACAACCCTGTTTTTACTAGTCCTTTTACAGTGTAATAACACAGGTTTTATGCCATAACAGACTCTATCTTTTCTGGCTTCTAATGTTCATACTACAGGGTTACAGCACTTTCACTAAATGGAGATCAATGTTTGATAAAATCCGCTGAGCCAATCAAATTATTATATTATTATTTACAACCACGTGTGGGTGCCCATAGATGGTTATTTTTGTGTTAAAGTCACCAGCAGCTTCTTCTAGGGGTTCAGTTTCATTAGCTTAAATAACAAAGTTCAGTAGCAGAATGGCTACACAATGAATTATTCTCTGGTGTGTTTGATCCTGGATTTAGGCAGTGGCAATAACTCTAGCACCTTGTGTTGGAGCATAATCAGTAATAAAAACTTCTACTTCCCCTGGGTTTATTGTCATCCTTTAAACAAAACAAAAAAAAACAACCAAATGGATACAAGTTTGACCTTATCGAGTTCATTTTAAAGTGTATTGAGGGCAAACAAGAATAAACCAACAATTAACCAAAAACATGTCTGAATTTATGCTGAATTGACTCAACAAAATCGTAAATTTTGGACCAGTGACTTTTTTAAGGGTCCACTTACTGTAAACTCAGCTGTAAACCACAAAAATATACTTTCTTGAAAACGGTGTGCTCACCACCCTGGCAATATATATATTAAAGTTGCTATTTACACAACAATGACAAAAGAAAGACAAAACGCTTGGCTCAAAATTTTTACATTGTACAAATAGACTAGCAAATGTCCATGGCTTTTCAATATCTGATTGAAGAATCTGCTTCTTGTGGATGTTTACCACGCAACAAAGCACAATTAAAAATACAAAGTGTGAAAAAAAATATATATAAAGAAGAAGAGGCAGCGTTTGAGCGAACTGTAAAGAGATTACAGCAACTGTACAAAACAACTAATAAATTCCAGCTTTGGCTTATTTAACCGATGGACTGTTGCTTAAATGTGAACGTGTTGGCTTACTAACCAGCTCAACTGGACAGGTTTGCATCATCTTAACTGTTTATTTATACACCATACTCTTTGAAATTATAAAATTAATTATAATTATTGCAATAAATTCTGAAACTATTTTATTTTTACCTCCCATATTGTTGTTTTAAAGTTCTCTCAGCTTATTAAAGAGCCCTGGATGACTTTGACTCAATGTGCTCTGCATCTATTGATCCTAAGGGTTTAAATAAAACTTGAAAGACCCTGTTTAAATCAAAACCTGTGTGGTTGCAGCGTTGGATTTCAACACAGTTCTTGCAGTGAACATCATATGTAATTAGAGAGTCCTTAGCCTGAAAGCGACACAAATTTCTGGGATTGTTTGCGAACTTGCGAGCACAACAGCAAAACAGCAACTACAAGTAAGTGTCTGACTAGACCAGTGGCTACAATAATCTACCGCCTATTTTATTTTAACAAATTTCTCTCAGCTGCAGACGTCCTCTAAACTGCAGAAAGTACCTGATACACCTGCTTGTACACAAAATTCGTTTAGATTATTTAAACCTCCTGTATCAGTTTGAGAAATGACTGAGATATGCCCTGACATCTTCTAACATTATATCTCAGAATTACAAATTAAGGTGGAGTTGAATCATATTAATATTGACAGCTCTAAGGACCCCTGCTCTGTCTTTTATCCCCATGTCTAATCCCTCCCTTCCTCTATCTGTCTGGCTGGCGACTGCAGACCAGATCAAAGCTCCTTATGTCACCCAAGTGTCCATGCGCAAGCGCTTGACCGAGGGGCTCTCCCTGTCCTCAGAGACAGCAGGGGGTCTTCCAAGTCCAAGCGGAGAATGGAAGTCCGCCCGGTGGTCCTCGCGGTCACTGCCATCGTAGGAGCTGCAGGACGAGCTGAGGCTGTCGGCGGGCGAGCGTCCCAGGACCTCCTGTCGGCTGGATCCTTGCTGCGGCTGCTGCTGCGGGGGGAACCCGGATGGGGTGACCCGCCCGCGGGGCGGAGATATTGGCTCAGACTTGATGTTTATGCTCTGGCTGGTGTTGATAGATAAGTTGGAGCCCTGAGGTAGGTGACTTCCACCACTGCAGCAGAGATAGAAAGAAAATTTGATGTTGAGTTTACAAAAAAAAAAAAAAGTGTTTAAAGGCAGGATGTAAGCGCATGATTCAGCATATCACAGAGCAACGTGGGTGTTGCTTTCATACAAGGGCATCTGTAGAGTGTGCCTTTGTTTGGAACTGGGTTACTCACACCAAAGAATTAAGAGCTGCCTGGCCTAGTTGATGCTGTTGCCATGCAGACATGGAGCCCAGAGAGAGCCCAGGAGAACCAAAGCCCTGCAGGGAGGAGATCTCCGCACTGCTCAGCGAGTACTCTGTAAAAAACAAAAGCATCCACATACACTAAGAACTAACATTTTACATTATATTGCTGTGTGCTGCTGAGAAACAGAGCAAGAACCAGGAATGTAAACTACAAACGGTCCCAGTTAGTGTAGTGATGGGGCAGAAGGTGCAGACTCACCAGCAGGATTGTAGGCGGTGGGCATGCCTGAGTAGACCAAGCCCTGTGGGGGTAAGCTGGGGGTGGTAACAGACACAACAGGAGTGGCAAGCGGCTGGGTGGACTGGGAACTGCTTATCCTATGGGTGTTCTGTAAGACACACAGAAAAGCAACACGGAGAAAATAAATGCAACCTGTCTCACAAAATAGTCTTAAAAAACAAAACACACCTTTCATTTTATCTAAAAAGAAAGGTACCAAACGTCTACCACAAGGTGGCAGCAAAGCTAATAAGGCTGATAAGAAAAATAATGAACAGAATTTTAACACTAAAAACACAAAATCAGCTAGAGTAAAAAAAAAAAGAAAGTTTAATTTACTTCATTAAATTGCCTTATAAAGGAAAACTAGTATGTAAGCCACACATAACATATCTTAAGGTTTTCTTATTGTTCATATGAATAATTGAGGCTTACAACACACCAAACGTCAACGAGAATTTAGAGAAAATTATGATACTATATGATACTGATACAAACTGGGAATTTGATACAGAAATGTTAGTTTATTGGTTACTATGTCTGTTTGTTGTACATGGGCTTCTTATGCATGGATCACTAAAACAAATTAAAAATGGCATAGAGGCGGAACATCTGAGTGTCTCCTGTGATATTTAAGAAGCCCAGATTGCTTTAACGTTGGCTTCAGCTTGCCTGCATTGATGTCTCTTAGGTCTTTCATTTTTCTGTTTGCACTAGTGTCTCTATTGTGTTAAGGCTGAGTAGGTTTACCAGGATACCAGGAACGTTAAATAAGGGATCAGTACTTCTGGCTGATAATAAAATTAAAATCTCCAAAGAGATTATTAGCAGAGGGAAGCATGAATTACCCTGAAGTTTCCTGGTTTTCTGCTGACTTTGGATTTCTTAAAACAAAGCGAACCCACATCAACGGATGGCATGGCCCTCCACATCAAACTGTAAGGGACCGTGGAAATTTCCTACTAGACCTGAAGGAGTTTGCTATCCTTCCCTTCTGTTCTTTCTCCACATCTGGGCCATTTTTCTTCTTAGTCTGGCTTAGATCAGAGGTTATACTACTTCACATTTAAAGCCATCTAAAATCTCCAGTTATTCCTCTTGTTTTTGTATGCTTTCAAACTACATTTTTTTTCTCCCTTAAACTTTCCACTAATGTTTTTGGATACAAAAATCAATGAAGTGTCAGTTGATTTGACGATAACCTTATGGAGGTAAAGTAAGGTAATTTTATTGGTATAGCAGTTTTCATTAGAAATAAAATCCAAAGTGCAGTACATAAAAAAAGGAAAAGAAAGACCATTGAAATGTAAATTGTAGTGGCATAAAAGTTAGAATAGAAAATTATCCCACAATGGGGAAATTCTGGTGCTTACAGCAGCAAAAAGATTATAGAAAAATTATAGAAAAATATTATTAAATAAAAAAAATATATATACATTTTTAATAGTTAAAATGATGAGATGGTTATAATATGAATGATCAGAAAAAGGCAAGTTGAACTGCAAACTTAAACTTATGTTTACATAACACAATCAAAGTCCACTCTAATAAAATGAATTTTTAATCTTCACTTTTTTTCTCAGGTTTTCAGCAGTTTTAATGTTTTGTGGGACTTTATTACAGATAAGTGAAGTATAAGAACTAAAAGCTACTCTGGGGATTCAAAGCAGAAGACCTGTGAGGTCTGGCCGATTGATACACTGAGCAATTCTGTAATGTATTTTACTGCTAATCCACTCAGTGATCTATAGACTTACAGAAATATTTTAGTCCATTCTCAGACATACAGAGAGCCAGTTTAAGGACTTTAGAACTGGTGTGATGTGCTCCACTATCTAAGTGTTAGTGAGGTCGCTGGCCGCATCCTCACTACCTTCACTAACACCACTGCAAAAGTAAATTCTACTAAAGATGAATACAGTCATTTGTTTTTCTAGATTCTGCTGAGGTGAAGGTGCCAGTGACTCATCGCCACAATTGTACAAACCAGAAAATAAATGCATTACTTTTGTATTAAAAGCATAAGATTTAAGCCACAGATGCAAGTCCTCCTAAAATGATTCTAATACGTAAAATTAGGAGGGAAACACTAATGTATATATAGTATAGGTAATAAGTGGGACAGAGTAGACCCATACGATCCACTCTAAGACATTCTGTCAGATAAACATTCAGTTCAATAACAGAGTGAGACAACAGATCGCTTTTACACTCACATAGCACCCGAATGAGATATTGCAAGAGGATAACGCAAATGACACATTTCAATTCCCAGAGTGACGCACAGAAAAGCTATGGTGGTTTTTTTGGTGTAGTGGCTGGCATGCATCCACACAAACACACCTACACAGCGTGGTACGGTCAAGCAGTGAGCTTTGCTGTGAGCTTCAAAATGCACACGGAGGCTAATAATCAAAAGCAGACAGACAGAAGTTTTTAAAACAATACTGCGACAAGCCCTCCGTAAGTAATAAAACAAACATGTGTGCAGCTGCCAATACTTGTGTTCATAGCTGAATTGCATCATAAAGTTGATGGTTTCCTTGAATTGTTCCAACGCTATCCGGCCAGATGACTTCACCAAACCCCAAGTATCTCACACTATGATTTCATTTTGAATGACGTAATCCCCTCTCCCTCAGTAAAAAAAGAATATATGATTTCTGTTTGTTCTTCAATTGTTACTGAGACTCCTGGTGATTAACATTTAAATGCTTGGAATAGAGGAGCCAATTTAAAAGCCCAAGACAGTCTTTACAGGCCAAACTTAATGCATGCAATGAAAAATGCAGTTGTTTTTGAAAAATCCTCTTAAGGAAAACTGTCTTCTCTTTGAACCTGGCTTCAATTCACCATCTGTGATTACTCAAAGCGTGTTAACATTTCAGCCATTTGCCCGGGCATTTGTCAAACTCACCAAATCCATTTCCTCCTCCTCCAACTGCCCTCGACAGAAGGAAAGAAGAGAATTACGGAGCAAAGTGCTCATGGTGGGGGGGGGGGGGTGGTTCACCATCAGAATTTTATAGTAAAAGGGAAGTAAATGAAAGTAAGACTGCTAAACAGTTCTACCATCAATTTAAAATCTTAATCTTTATGAGCATTTATAAACAGTTCTGACAATGACCAAATCCTCAATCAGACTATCTGTGTAACTTGTAACTGATAGGGGATATAGACTGAAACTGTTCTCAAACCCTGACAGTAGCTCATAATCATCATAATCTAAAGATAAAGTTTCTTTCCTGTTCACCAACAATGCTCCCTGAGCCTGAAAGGAGAAACAAGAAGCCCATCTTCCATCTTTCCTTTGCTGTGGGACACACTGTGAGCAGGCAAGGGTTCCTAATACTCCTCCTCAATCAATAGCTGTGGGAAGACACGACAAGGGCGACAAGATATTATCTGGCTCACACCCTGGGCCCCTGATTAAGTCTTCATCTACACTCTGTCACACTGAGATGTGATTAATTTAATACCATTATGGCCTAATGACAGGCTGTCTGCAGACCTGCCAGGGCAGGCACCTTCTATCGTCTCTGCAGCTCAGGCAAGAATGAAGCAACCTGCAGCCCATCCTGAACCTGTTTCAGACCACCAACAGCACATCCTGTCTGCTCCTGATGCATCTAAGCCAACATACCTCACCTCAAGAACAACAAATTTAATTTAAAAAATGCCTTATAGTAGGAGAGCTCCTTTTGACTAAATGGAAGCTTAATGAAGAGTTTCATTGACAAACGATTCCAAAACCTCAGCAACATTTTTACACAGATCCTGCAAAGGACTTCTGAATGATGCTGCCTCGTTTCCCTGGTCTGTCAATCTTTGTGTTTTTTTCTATTCATATATTTCTTATAGCTGTAATCTGATTATACCTTCTCCCGACCTTGCATTATCTTTATTGTAGGTCTTGTTCATCAATCTTTAAGATAAAATAAAAAAACATTTACAGAAATGCTGCATAAAAAGATCCTTCCATTCCCACCTAATAAATATGCTAAATATTTCCATTTGCAGAATATTTCATGTGCATTAAAGAAGTACCCTAAAGTTTTTCCCTAAGCTCATATGTTACAAAAAATGCAAAAACAACATTGCTGTAGTATGCAACTTCACTGCAGATAAACAAAGACATGAATGAGGTAATCCATGCAATGCTGAGGTGATTGTCAAAGACATGTGCAGGCAAATCCAGCACCACTTTTTACTATGAAAGTTCTCATATTGCCTCTCAGGTCCTCAGGCTGATCAAACTGGTGTGCAGTGGTGTGCTCTTTACTCACCAGCGGGGGCATCATCCCCTTGCTCGATGGAGGGATGACAACCCTCAGGTCTGGCTTGCGGTTCCCCATTCCTAAGTTCCCCCCAGGAGGCGGCGGAGACTTAGTAGGCATGACTTTACCCAGGCCGTTGCCACTGGGTGTGCTGAGGATGCTCGGCGAGCCCCTGGGGTTAACGAAGCCGTTCCCTGCAGAGACACACAGAAAAGGAAACGCATCATCAAACCAGGGCACCATGACTGACAACACTCCCGGCCATCAGAGAGACCTCTCATGCCGTCTTGTTCCGCAGCTCGCGTTCAGCACGCGGTGTTAAGTGTTTCCAACCCTCTGGGAAGTTTTAATCGACTAGGATAATTATCTTGCACATTTACAAAAATAAAACGTCCATTTCAAAATTGATGAGCCTTTAATTTTTTATTGTGAATGATTACATTAAAGGCAAGACTTTGCATCTTGGGGATGAGGCGCAGTTCATTGGCAAATGTACTGTGACCACTTAAAAGAAAGAAAAAATTATTACAGTTGAGGAAATGTTCTGCTATGTTAGTTTGTCAAGCAGAAAACAGAAAAGTGCAAGAGTTTGGTCTCAACAGTCACACCTTGGTAACTGTAGTCATTAGTCATTTCCTTTATCATTATTCTTATTTTTATAACACAACAAACATGAATCCAAGCAGGTTATTTTCAAAATTAGTAACCCAACTACTACAACTTCAAAAAGGATAAATCTCATCAATGGATTAGGACAGATTAGTAAAATTAGGAAAAATAAAAATTAAGAAATATTCGCTGCTGGAGTTAAAGTTGTTAGGAGTTCTCTCTCATGGCATGAGCTGCATTAGTACAGATTAGCACACATTTAACAAAAGCAGAAAACAGACTTGCTTTGAAGATCCACTTTGAGTTTGTCTGTTACAAGGACTCATTGTCCAACCGTGATAAATTGCAGCTGCCTGCAAGTGTCTGCATCTGCTTAGTTTTAAACTGTTGACATGTTTTAACACGTCTTGTAAAAAATAGAAGAGATAGTTCCTGTTTTTGCAAACCTACAATATTTTTGTTGCTTTTTTTTCATCAGCACTGTATTGTATGACTCATCTGCACAAGGTCTGCAGCACTTTAATAAAACCTAGGCCCTCAATTGTTGGAAGACCAAAATGGCACAAGAGAACAAGTAATACTTTGAGTGCACTTGAATTTTAAAAGGATTGTGCTTTTAATGCACATTTGATTGGAATTTAAAAACTTAGCTTTATATCTGAAAATTATGAGGATAAAAAGAATTCATGTTATCTCCCAAAACATCAACAGATCAGTAACACTTTAACAAGTTGCTGACTTGTCCATTGTCTTTAGCCGACAGAAACACAAAGTGTGTACATGACTAGGTGGCTCGGGGGTAAAAAAACATAATGGAACAATAGCCCTCACTGAATGCAGATAAGGCTAGCAACAATTCATGGCCAAATAAACACTTATGGAGCCTACAATAGTATCTCACAGCTGAATCAACAGTGTGTACAAGCAGCTATCGCCATCAGCTCTGGCTTTGATCACACACAAGGCTTGGCTGCCGCTGCAAGAAAACAGTGTTTACAGAATTAGCAGGGTAAATGTCCAATGCTCCAAAAATAGCAAGTCTGATTAAAAACAGCCAGGATGTCATTTTGTGGGAATGAGAAGTTAGAGCAAATAGGATTTCATGTTAAGGAATAGAAGGCAATGTGGCAATTTGGCACATAAAGAGCAATCTGAAAACAAGCAGCAAGCTGGTGTTTAACTCTGGCAGAAGTCTGAAGTGAACATTAAACATGAAGTTGTTTTTGAGAGAAAACAGGACAACAGGGATGACAAATTGGCTGTTTTCACTACAGACATTTTGACTTACAGGAGGAGGGAGCCACCATCCCTGTCATTACTGGATTGTTTGTTTTAGCTCCGGAACCACATTGTTGTTGTGATTTGTAACAGCACTCCCTATATTGTAAATGCTGCATGCTCAGAAGGCCAGCTTACTGGAGTCTCTTTTTACATTGTATCGCAAACGTATTCAAACTAAAACTCTTGCACATATAAGAATATGGCCTTAAAACCACTACTTTGGTTTATTTTACTGGGATGTATTTGTCAGACCTACACAGAGTAGCTCATAGTTATGATTAATGATGAATTTAAGAACTGGGGTGCATTTATATTCAGTCCTCTTAACTTAGTTACCCCTCTATATAATCTAGTGCAGTACAATATATTCTTGAGCCAACTAATTCTTTAATATAAATACTTTAGCTGTTCTGTGCAGGCCAGAACACAAGTGAACAAAAAGCCCCATGAAGACCAAGCAACACACCTCATGATTTTGCATGAGGTTGTGTTTTCACAGACAGTAGAGTAGATCTAGGTTAAAAAACAACTTCAAAAGCTTTGAAGATCTCACTGAGCACAGCTCGGCCAACTGAAAAGGGGAAAGAGTGCAGAAAGGGCCTGAGAAGCCAAAAGGCTCAGTGTAACTGTGGAGGAAAAAAGCCAAAAGAACTCTTGTATGAATTTTGCCAAAGGTCATGCAGTATGGGGGAAAGGTTTTCAACTCTGGTTCTCAGGGTCCCCTGTCTAGCTTCTTTTTGTTTTTTACCTACCTCCGCACACCTGACTTAAATAAATGAGTGATTAAAAGACCTCTGCAACCCTCGGAGGCTGTTGAGAAGGAAATACAATAATATCAGTCAGGTGTGTTGAAGTAGAGATACAGCTGAAACATGCAGGGCAGTGGGCACAGAGGACCAGGGTTGAAGCCCTTGGATATGGGAGCAAAAAAAAGGAAAATGCTGATCTGCTGAGTTGAGACAAAAATGTAAATGTACCTGCTAATTGCTAAATGTTCTATCTTGTAAAATGCTGCATCCCCCTCCCAGCATCAAAGCAGTAAAACATGGTGGTGGGGCCATCATACAGTACTATGGGAATGGAGACAAAAATTCTAGGAAAAATTTAAAGTATTGGGCAAAGGTGTCAGTCACTATATGGCTGACTGATACCTCAAAACAATATATATATATATATATATATATATATATATATATATATATATATATATATATATATATATATATATATATATATATATATATATATATATATCCCCTTTAAATCTATAAACTTTAATGATATGCAGCACAGGATACCCACAAGAACTCCCTTGTTCTGCTTATATGTCTGTGATTCTGTGGGTTTCATTTTGCCCAACTGATGTAATTGCTCCAAAACAATATCTGACCAAAACATCAGCATAAGTACCATGGCTGCTGTTTTTGTTATTGCAGTTTTACTAGTCATGCAACCCCAGGATCAATTATCATCTCAGTCAATGTGGATGTTTTTCTTTTTCTGCACTGACAGACAGAGGAGAGTGTATTACTCTGTCATCTGTTAGTTAATCGAAAGGCAAACATAGAAAATCTGCATTGCTTTCACTGATTGATTTAGGTTTGAATTCATCCGCTGGACTTTCTCATCTGACAAATGTCCCTGAGATGTCTGATGATGACTGAATGAAACGATTAGCCAGCATGTAAAAAAAATGTACTTGACCTAAAAAGTTAATTTAAAGCCAAGGCACCAGCCGCAATCTAAGACACTGCTTTAATTGATGACTGAGGGCTGTTTCTAACATCTGTCCTCATCCTATATTCAGACTTTCTGGCCCTTTAAGTCCTCTGCTACCTAAACCTGTCCACACTGAAGGATGCTAGGTTTATGATGGTCACCCTAAATTATTAACATAGTGTGGAAAACTGGGGGCATTACATAAGGCCTTGTGTTTACAACTGAAGCCTTCCATTTTTCTTTTCACGATCAGGGAAAAAGAACAGGGTGAGTTATTGTTCGCAGCATCCCACGTGTACGTATGTGTGAATGAGAACAAATAATGGGAGCCAATCAAGGACAACAGAAAGCGGCTTTCAACTAATATAAACCGTGTACTGATCTTTTGTTGGATCTCAGAGGAATAAGTGTGGGGGTAAAAAATAATTGCATCTACCATAAGGATTTAAAATATTTTGCTCATCCAACTAATCTTGGGCAAATAAATCAAAACGTACTGAGGAAGAAAATAAATATCCTAACATGAAGCTTTCACTAAACAGACCCAATTTCACTGCTGCACTACTCCATTAGGTTTAGTTCAGAACCCCTTTCTGTAGTTCACATTTTCTCATGATACAAACAAAAACTCTAACCAAGTGATACATAAATTCAACGGAGGATGGAGGAAATGTAGTTTTCCTATGTCTTAAGGTTCAATTAAGCCCCTCGTAAGGGTTGGTGGAACAACTTTTTATTGAAAGTTCTGCTGCAAATCTTTTAAGGATCTCCTGAAACCATTCTGCATGTCTTCAAACTATTTTTTCACCTATTTCTTTTGCAAAATAGCTCTAGCTCAAATAGCTAGGATTTTATTTCTCTTTCTTTTAAGTAAATAAAGGGGAACAGATTTTACAGCAAATTAAGTGTAACTCATGTTCAGCAGACACAGCTCCAGGTATTTCAGAGCCTCTCATTGCTTCATTCCTCTCTTATGGCACATTAACACCAAATGCATTTCAAGTGACAAAAAGTGTCCAACACCTCAACTTGGACACTTGTGCACATAAGTTGTAAGTGGTTAGAAACCCTTCTGATGCAGTCCTGAAGGAAGAATCCTGTTTTTCCTTTTTTTTTTCTCTTTCCTTGGCTATTTTTTTTGTGTACAATGGCAACTTTGATCAACAGTGGCTTAGCTGTATTAACTTTGATGAGTTTGGGAAAAAGTACTTTATTTAGTCAGTAAATCAGAGTTATGATCCTGCTTTTAAATATTGTGGTATTGTTTCAGGTGGCAGAACCCCAGCATGAAGACCCATGACCGCACCAGTAATCTCATTGACGATCCCTCAAACTGACCAGACTGTCAGGGATTTTCTGTTACTGGCAGAAAGTTAACATGAAGCATTTTTTTGAGGTTGAGGTAAAAACTGCAAGTACCAGAATATAAAATAGAATATTCTATGCCAGCGGGTTTTGAGATTTTTTGTTAGTGTATGTAATAAACAACTTTTTAGTAACACAATATTTCAGTGGAGTACTAATGATGACCAGAGCACTCTTTTTTTCCTGGTACATAAAAAAAATAATTCACCTGGCTTTTCTGTAATCTCAGTACCATTTAACTCCTTTGTATTTTTACATTTTTATAGTTTCATGCTGACAGCTCAGTAGGAGGAGAGATCATAGCTTGGATGAAGTGTCTGCTTCTATAAGCTAATTGACTGAATCAGTGCAAAACTTCAGATTTCCAACACTAGCTTCTGCAGCTTTGGATGAGCTTGTCGCTTCAATGCTCAAAACGCACCATACGACCTCTTGACACCACGTAGCGTGCACCCACCATAAACTCTGCATGTAAACCAGGCACCTCTTGCATTCAAAACATGTTCAGTATTGCCCCATTTACATTAGCCCTCTGAAACCAATCTGTGCCGTGTTCGGACTGAGCTTAGATCAGTTAACCGTGGCGAGCTTGGTTCTTAAATCATTTACACATCATGCTAGCACGGTTCCTCGCCTCCTATCGGTGGTCCACGATACTAGAGCTCTCAAAGCAGGAATTGCGCAAACAAAAATGGCAGCACACATGACATTCAGGAACTTATGATTGTTTATATAAGTGATATTTGATTGTTTGCGGAATATCAGGCAAAGAAGGAATCATCTCAATCTCGGCGTGATCCCAGGTTGCACTACTCACTTTTGATGCCGTTTATTGTTAATAAGCTGAGGAGAAGTTTGTGTTGTGAACAGGTGAAGAGATCAAAGCCGGACGCCGGAAATGAGTCAGCTGACAGTAAATAGAAGATGACGCAGTCTGCTCTTGAGCTATTTGCTATCAGGAACTGAGCCACAACTGAACCATGTCAAGCCCTGCTGTGGAACTAGTACTAGATATAGTGCAGTTCAGTTGTGTTTGGCACAGTCCAGTTCAGTTTTATTCCATTTACACTCAACAGTTATCTCGGCTTACCGTGCTTGGACCACTCTCGGCACGGTTTTAAAAGGGTAGTGTATTTGAATCAGTGTGACTGGATGATCTGGTGAACTGTAAAATGCCTTGAGATGATATGTGCTGTGAATTAGCACTATAGAAATAAACTGAATGGAATGAGTCTGACCAGCGCTGAGTCCAACGTGTTGTTTTTGGTCATACAGTGTTGACAGTTAGATCACATCAGAGCACCGGTTCTGTCAGACCAGCATACCCATAATCAATTAACATGCGCAAGATTTGCATTTATTGTATTTGTTTTATAGAAAAAATAGACTTTAAACTACCTCAAAGGGCAAAAATCTGTTTAGTCATGCACACAAAAAAAATTTAAGGTCAGATCGCCATACGCTTCAAAAAACATAAAAAAAGTAAGTAATTAAGTAGTTTTTTTGTACATGACCAAAGGGATACGCAGCTGTTGAGGTTGTTAAAGGTGTTTTTCTTACAAAACTAAAGGGATAAAATAAAGGAATAAAATTAAGAGATAAACGGGGTTTTGACTATGACTATGTTCATCTCACAGAACACCAGGCCGAACAGTGTAGGAACATACATTGTGAGCTCTGAATTTTTAAACCCTTTGTCATACAGTCTGAAGCTGTAGCTACGTAGATTGAAAATATGGTGCAGTGTACAGTATGCCCGGCTAAAGGGGAGAAGATAAATATAAAGAGAGTAGAAAGAAAAAAAAGAAAAGAGAAAAAAAAAAGAAGAAAAAGAAAAATAAAATTAAATAAAAAAAAATAAAAAAAATAAAAGGGTAGTGTAAACCGGTATACAATTGCACCCTTAGACATGATGCAACCATGTTTAAACGTAGGGCCGTTGTGTTCCAAATGAGTTAAGGCGTAGATTTCTTGCCATAGACGATATTTTCCATGTGGACCAAAAAGTAAAATTTTTGTCTCATGTATGGATCAATGCATGAAGCATGACTAGTAGTTAAGGTTTACAAGTTCAAACGGTTTGAGTTCTGTTGCACCTAACACTTTTTGTGACAGCCATTGAAAACTGTTTATAAAAAATATAACATATAAACATTGATGTTAGTGTGGTTAAAGTAACACACTACAAAAATGTTCCATGGCTATGAGTACTTATAGTGCAGAAAATAGGAAATATGATTCTCTACTTTAAAAGCATATTCTTCCAGGTCAGATAATAAGTTAAGCTAAAATACATGGTGCTTGGTGTTTTAATCTCCCAACTTCACTACAGCTTTCAGACGTCACAAGGACCAGTGGATGCGATTAATTGGATTCGTACAAGTTGCAGACTTGGAGTGTGCACGGTTGTATTAAAAAAGTTTAAAAATAACTTCAAAGAAAAGTAGTTGTGTTTTTAAAGGTGCTGATGAGCCATTATCTCAGCCACAGACAAGGACAACAGATGGCCTATTTGAGAAAAAAAAAAACAGCAGCAGCCAATGAATGTGGCCAATGGTGCTCACAGTGGCACTATACAAGCACATATGAGACAGAACACTTGAAAACATAGCAAAAAAACAGGAAATTAGAATAGTAGTTATAGAACTAGATGTGTTCCTGAGCATTGTCCTCTGTCATTTGTGACACCATCTAAATAGAAAAGAGATATCACATGATTCATCTTCCATCTGTCCCCTTTGAATGCCTTAACAGCGCTCATGACTGTGGCTCGTGAAAAATCATAAGTATGTCAGGAAGGGTCATCTGACATGGGGGCCTGAGAGGCTTGTTCTGTTTGTGGCCTCGGCTCCTCTGCAAACACAGTACAAGCAACAGCTGCAACATGTTTGTACTTTGCCTAATGGTGACTACAACACCCCCCTCGGTAGGGATGAGGTCTCGACCCAGATAAGGAATCAAAACCTGCCGCCCATTTGATCATCTTCACTTACTGAAACGTTTAGAATAAAATAGCTCCAAAGAAAGACATCAACGTCATGCTGTTCTGTGAAGATATTTTGCATTTGACCGGTAATCCCACTGAGTCATAAAGAAAGAGTTAAACTCCACCTGCCTGCACAACTCACTGAACACATTTCAGCCATGACAGCCTGTCCGGTCATTGTGTACTAAGGACTTAGAAGGATGACATGGCCTGAATAGCTGCAGGGTTATGCTGCTCTAGGCATCTTAGCCATCCTCCCCGGCCTTATAAGGGCAGAGAGGGGGAAGGAGTGGGAAAACAGATGCACCTGTTAATAGGTCTCATTACAATGTCAGTGGACAGCTAATGACCTGCCTTAAAACATTTTTAAGCACAGAGAAGGAAAAAAAAATAAGTGTGTGGATTTTATTTTTTTATTTAAATTAGATTTACTTTTTCATGCAGCAAAATTAGTATCTGACCAACTCAAAATCCATGAGAGGTGGTTAGAAGGGTTTTGAAGCCATTTTTTTTTTTATTATTTAAAGGCATCTACCCAACCCATGTGCTAAGCAGGAGGCCTACCGGGCACAGCAACAGAGGGCTAATGAATCTCTCCAGGAGGACTTACCCGCTGGGCTGGAGCCCGCACCACTTGGCACTGAAAGGTCTGTGGTATCCAGCATGCCACCTAATGAGATGCACAGAGTGGATATGATTAACCATCTGCATCCTTTCTACAAGCGAGCAGAGCATGTGATGGAGATGCCAGACCAGACGTCAGAATGTCAAGCAATCTTATCCTCACAGAACATGAAAGTCTGCCTTGTTTCCTCTTGGTAGGGGGAGATTTTTAGAATAGATGTTGACGGAGAGCTAAATCAGCATGTCTTTCTTTGTTTTTTGTGAGTGTTAGCATGCTTATAGGAACCGAGCTAATGATCGTAGCATTACAGTTGGCGTCAGATCTTCGTCAAGCAGTTATGCATGCTCTCGGAAAGCAAGCTTTATATAATCTGACATACAGTACACCTTGAACAGAGCATATTTAAAGAAGAGCATTAAGGAAGCAAAAACAATACAGCACTGTGCAAGTGGGATGATAGTGTAAAAGATATAAATCTACTTTTCTCTTACTACCACTTAGAGTAGCTTTTAGCTTCAACAAAAGGGTCTAAATAACTCAGATTTATACTAAACAAGAACAATAAAAGAATTGACAACCAAAGGTAGAGTAAGATATTGGCTTCTAACAACATTCAATCAATACCTCACTGCAAAATGCCTGAACATCTCTAAACGGAATGCACTGTAGGTGTGCAAAACTACCAAAGAATTTTATTTTTGAAACAAGTTGGTGTTACACAAAATGAGAAATTAGATGACAAAGATAAAAGAATGAAAGAGGTAATAAAAAAAAAAAAAAAAAAAAAAAAAAAAAAAAGCAGCCGTTTAGTACATACCATTTGCTAGAAGTTCTAATGTGTGGTTAAAGCTCTTTTAGGAAGCTGGTTTCATGCATCCCCACTTTGCTCAGAGCAAAGAAATCCTACAAGAACCATTTTGATGGATTGAGTCAGATCGGTTATGCAAGAAGAGGTACATCTGACATGGTTTTGTTTTTTTTCAACAAGCTGATATAAGAGAAGGTGTGATGATGACATTTTTAGTGGGTGCGAAGACATTCTACAGTCGCTAGTTAAAAGTGTTAGTGTGAGACTACCTTGCATTAAGTCCCCCATAATCAATGCCATATGGGGCAATAATGAGAAATGCCTCTTTTTATTCTTTGAAATGAAGATCTACATCCGAAGATCGGGAAATATTTTTTTATAATTCTGAAGCAAAAATTCAAAAAATTGCTAGAAAAACTTCAAATAGGTAAACCTCACTAATAACACAGTGTTATAGGAGTAGCCATTCAAAATTTCCCCACTTTGATGGGTCCTTGGTTGGTCCTTGGCTGGACCCCTACAATTCCTTTTTTAAACATGAATCTTTCTACTAAAATATTCTTTCTGTCATGATTTGTGGACATTAAGATCTAAAGAGAAGCACCATCTCCTGGTCAGACCCTGTAATTCAGTGAAAGGGTGGAGTCAGAATAGAAAACATATGTAGGCCCAGTGGCTGGAAGTTGGGGGGCATTTTGCTGGGAGTTGCAGGGAAGTGGGCTGCCATTTGGCTGCTGTTTGACTGGGAAGGATCATTTTGAATGGCTGCTACTGTATGTTATTATTGACAATCTGAGAATGAAGAAAATATTATACAATAACATTCACTTTCTCCCCAAGCTTTCAGCATTTGTGCCCCTAAATTAAGAAAACCATAAACCCAGTACCCGCACTTTGTTACAGATACCTCTCGAGTAAAAACTAGAAGACAAATTAACCAAGCACCAAACACTTTAAACATCTGTAAGAACTTAATCCACCGATAGAGAAACAAAGCTTTATTTCGTGTTCACTAACCTGCACTGCCTGCACTGGTGGGCCTCTGTGATCCTCCACCAGAGCCAACATTCCTGTGCAGGGAGGCCTGCGGAGGGGACAGCATCCCGCTGTCATTCAGTGAGGCCGTGGCTGCTGCCAGGGCCTGGCTACCCAGATTCCCTCCCGCCTGGTACATGGCGTTAGGATTGGACACGGGCACCGCCACATGCATGGAGAAGTTCTGCTGAGGCAACGCCGTGGGCTGGAGAAAGGAGACACACAGATAAATATTTACACACAGCACACTCCGAATCCAAGTTCTGATATGTGGCTGAACGTCGGTTGTCATAGGAACATTAACAGACAGCTCCTGCAAAGAGGGGGGCTTGAAAAGTGTAAGAAATGTACAAAATGATAAGACGATGAAAAAAATGACTAAAATAAATTAGCTACATTCAAATCTTTACAATCCTCTGCACAAACATTGAGTCTATAATATCAAGTAAACAGGTGCAGCACAACAAATAACAATATCATATTACATTTAACTGGTTCCACATAAAGTTTTATGACAGAATGATATAATCCAAGTGTGTATTTTTAATCACCTTGTTGATTTTGATTTCTATCTAGTGAAATTTCTATCTTAGAAAATCAGAATGAAAAATGTCTATGTCCTGCAGTGCATGTGTCCTATACTTTGCTGGAGCTCGTTTTGCATAGATTACCACATTAATGGGACACTGAATGAAAAGTGATCAGTCTGTGGCTCTTCGAACTGGTAAAGAAAACTAGTTTCCTTTAAAAGTGGCCTTTGGCTCATCCACACGGATGAGTCTGGTGTTTGTCATCCTCCTCTTGACAGTCTTGCTTTGATTCTCTTGATAAATCCCAGCTGACCAATGACAGTAAATGACGTGGTTCCTCAGAACCTCTCTCGATGTGGAAACCTCACATTCAACTTCCCTCTTGCTAATCTCACCTCAACTTTTGAATAGATATTACTTGAAAATCCTCCTAAAACTGTGTTTTTTCTTGTATGTGCTTCTTTTATGACCACATGGTTTGCTTACTCCCAAAAGTTCCATTCATATGCTTTGCAACTGAAGTTTGCAAGACCTTTTTTTCATTAGATCTCTATGATTATATACGTTTTTAGCTTTCAATTAATATCAAATCTTTAAGGAAACTCCTTGGAATATATAACATCTTTCTGTTTTTGAATAGCCATAAAATATGGGGGTTTATCTTTATACTGGATACAGAAATAAAGTCACCTTTTCACGACCCTCTGATTTTTAGAGATGTGAATGCATACGTGTACAACAACAATAATCTGTTAAACACAGATACACTTTCAAAAGTCCACGATATACACAAAAAACAGACAACAAAACAAAATACAAAAACAAGGTCATGCATACTGTGACGACAGTGGCATTGCAGCAATCAGCACTTCAGAGGTAATCCTCACCTTTAAAAAAAAAAAAGATACTGACAGTAACGAATTGTTTCGGTTTTTTATTTTTTATTTTTTCTATTTCTTTTTTTTATAACAAAACAGAGAGTATTACTAAAGATTAAACACTCCAACAACCTCGACTCGTTGCATTTATTCCCAAAGTGCTGACTTTGCAAAGCCTTAATTGTAAAAACAACAGGTGCATTTCATTGCAGTATCATCCAATAAGCTGGGTGGTGCGGACATTAGTTTGTTAATGGCAAAGTCAGTGTCTTTTAATAAAGGGAAATGGAAAGAATTAAATGACCGTTTAGTGAGAAAGTATGTGTTCTTGCACAAGGGTAACAACATTGTTAAGGAAATCTAATAAATATTATCTTTTAGTGTTGGTTTGTAAAATTGTTTTGTATTTTTATCCAGCATACCATTGAATATTACAACAGGGCGCATACAATTAATCAATGCCAGAGCTACTGCAAGTGTTTGAGATATATAACTTGAATGAAAGTATTTGTAGCATTTTTATTTGTTAAAATAGTTAGTCCTCTTGAATTTATAGTAACCATCCCCGTGATAAAAGGGTGCAATGTTTTAGCAGAAGCATGCAACATTTCATCTGTTAATGAAATGCAATCTTGTAAGGGTGTGTCAAAATATAAGCTGCAAAATAAATCAACTGAAGAAACGAATGCAAACCCTGTTAACGGTATTAGTCTAAAAGAAGTGTAGTTCTGACACAAGTTGACTAGAGAGCAACAAAAAGTAAAATTAATAAAAAAGAGAGAATCCTTGTGTGCCACAAAGCCAAGCAAGAACGTTGCATTTACAGTACTTACGATTTTATGATTTCTCATCATATTATCAAACTCCTCATTAATTTTTTTATATTTTTCTTCTGTGTGAGGAGTGAGGACATATGAGGCATCGGGGTCCGGGCTATCACAACCTCTGTGTTCTTTCTTGTTTAGCGCCTGTGGTGAACATCAACATAAAGACAAAAAATCAACACAAAACAGCAGGAGACAAAAGGAAGTACTTACACCACAGCGCTTGTACATTAAATCACTGTCTTCGCTTAGTTTGCCGAAATGGTCATCCATGAGGGGGCTGTGCCCGAAACAGTCATCAGGATCGGGACTAGCACAGTCATTATGGCCTTTGTTTCTCAATTTCTGAAATGAAATTGCACAGTTGAACAGACAGGGTATGCAAAACGTTTTGTTGTTGATTTTTCTTTTCTTTCTGTTTCTCAGTTACTGCCCAGTGCATAAAGAAATACATCCTCAAAAAGAGGTCTAATCTGAGTGGAAATAAATTCTGTAGGCAGACAAACATACAGTGAGAGTCATGAAGCACAAGTCGTGCAGCAGATGGTGCAACTCCCACAGAGGCCTTATTTATCAGCATTATTAAGCCAGTTTGGTGTGCACGAATATGTAGACTTAAATGTTAAATCACACGAGAACTGAGCCATTGTCTTGAATTATGGTTTTGACAGCTGAGGTTTGCACACAAATATGGTTTTGTATAGTTTTTTTTCAGCTTGTTGTAAGTCGGACTTGATCATTCTCACTTCTGAAACCACACGGCACTTCTGTACAATTCAACACTTCAGCTAAAGTGTTTTTTTGCTGCTGAAAACACAGATCTCTACCACAGGACTGATAGGTTTCTAGATGAATATTGGACACCTTCATAAAAGGTCTAATGAAAATATTCAAACCCCTGAAACCTTTTTGACCTTTTCATCATATCAAATCAAAAACAAGAGAAGAAAAACACTCAATATGTACTAATACATCATTTTTTAAAAGTCTCCCCAAGATAAAAAAAAAAAAGAAATGGTCCTACTGCAGATTCAGTGCGAGTTCTCTGTGCAAAACTTGCTGACAAACTATATCTCAATCAGAGCAAACATTTTTGCCCGTTCTTTTTTTCTAAATAGGTCTATCAAACATCACTGCCCTTGTGGTTTTAATGGGTTTATTAAATTGGCATGGCAGTACTATATCGACTAAAGGACAGCCACCCAACCTCAAAAGATAGCATACAGACAGTAGCTAAAATGGCAGCAAAACAGGAAATCATTATGATGTACAATTGTAGAGAGAGACATAATAAAGTTCACAGAGTGGTCCGATCTCTATTGAACATTTTGGATGGATGGAGTTGTGAAATGTATTTAATACTTCTCATAACCTCTGGCAAGGAGGTTAAGTTTTTAGTTGAGGGTGTCTGTGTGTGTTGTTTGTCTCTCTGGAGGTCTGTGTAAAGGAAAGTTTTTAAAAGTTACGAACAAATTATAATGAAATTGTTTACCAAACTTGCACCTCAGCCCATGGACAATCAACTAAATGTGATGACCCACATCATCATCTGGATGCAGGATTGTTTTTAAAAAATTTTCACATTATTTAGCGGAACAAGCAGTTCCCTTCTAAACCAGAGGGTGGCATCGGTGACTATTGCCAGCTTCAGCATCGGACTGAAAAAAGTCTTATAGTATTATACTGAAGACAAAAACGCAGAATTAAGAGGGTGAGAGCAGATCAAACACCAGAGGCTGCAGAGATGATGTGCCTTATTTAGAAACCAATGACAGGATTTTAAGAAAAATGTTTCCAAAGGTGAAAGAAAAATTTGTTATAATTTGGTAATGATCCAGATCATGTGTGAGTTTTAGCTATAGGTGTCAATCACGATATGGGGCAAAATTTGCTGCTTGGCAGAGATCTGTGTTCTGCAAGTGCTTTTGTAGTCTTTTAATGGTTCTTTTAATGAGTTATACTACCTCACACTGCTTGCATGGTCATCATTGGCATTGCTCTTGCTGTGGTTTTCTATAAACTCCCTGATGATCGACTATGATTAAAGTCAATGCATTTTTACACCATGTTTTTCTCCCACACTATTTACATTTGATCATTGCTGCACTTTATGAAATAGAATTTTGAATTTCACTGCTAAGCTGCTGCACATTTACTGTCTGAAAGATGTAAAAAAAAAAAAAAATTAAATGCTATTTAAGTCGAAGACTCTAAAACACATGAAAAAAATACATAACATTGCCTCAAGTTTTTGTGGGTCTACATATTTACAATCAAGTTAAATGGGCCTCTAGGCTTCTTGCCGTTCCCCTTACATGGTTCAACAACTACTACAAGCCTTCAAGTGGCTTGAATATGAAAGAGAGTTGCCACTGGCCACTGATCTAATTGGTGATCTTCTTGATTTGCCTTCTAACATGGACATACATTTTTTGGTAACTTTTTGAACTTTGATAGACTCTTTTAATCTCTATATACATACATACATATATATATATATATATATATATATATATATATATATATATATTGGTTCAGATTAGTACATATGATCAAATGGAATCTAATCCTTTGGGAAAATCAGTCATGTTTGTTCTGAATGTTTATCTAAGAACATACTTACATATTTAACAGAAATAATCAACAAGTCCCTAATGTGACAGCATCACAAAGAGGCTTTGAGGGAGTGAGAAACATGCGAAACAAGTCAAAAAATATCCCTGATATTCCGTTCCTATGCTCCCCTTCATACAGGCTCGTCTCTGCTCCTCGTTAGAGCTCTGAATAGCAGCGTTAACAAGACTCACTGACAGCATATGACAGCTTGTGATATCAAGGAAGCGTACATCAAAAACATGATTTATGTGCCGCTCTTGAGACTCCTCTATCAGGTTCACGGCAGTGCCCTGCCCTGTCTGCAGGCCGTCTCGGAGGCCTTGTGTCTACAGGAAGGTCAGTGACTCCTGTGGATGAGGGGGTCGGGGTGCGAGCTAGGGAAGGGGAAACCTACAAGCTCTAATGAGACCTCGCTCTCTGCTTCTGGTCCTCATCACACAGCAAAGTTGAAAATGTTTGTGTGTGTGTGAAACAGAAACTGTATGTGTGGTGCACATGTGTATGATGTGTGGAAGTTGAGGGAAGAGTACAGCCAAGTGGGGGAGGGGGTGCTTCTACAGCTGCTGCATCCTCTGACAAGTGATGTGACGGTCTGTTAGGACTGTGCAGGCAATGCGGCTACCCCACCACAACCTCAGCATGAGCTGCATTTCCTAAACTCTGTGCCTAGGTTTTAAACTCCTGCATAATTCCCTGGCTCATTAAGGCTGGAAGGTGCCAAGTCTCAAACTGCTCCCTTCGTCTCCATTCATTCGTGCACTCACGTGTTTTTGAGGGCTGTGTATTTTTGGGGCACAATAAACAATGTTAATATGCAGCGTGTGCACAGAAAATATGCGCCTCTTTGACAGCTGAGATAGAAAATAAGGTAGTTCAGAATAAACACCCACATAAGTGTCCACAATGCCCAGAGGACTGCAAGAGAGAGAAGCCCTCTGGATAATGAATGACCATTGCTGTACCACAGATGCATTACTGTTTGGTGTGGTACAGAGCAGAGGCATTCTTCTCATTCTAAGAAAACGCCTTGCTGGTTCATTTCCTGTTTACTAAAAGAGCCCTCTTTAGTTAGGGTCCTGAAAGGCCTGTGTTTACTGAAGTCCAACTATGCACTTTCACCACCACTGAGTCAAAGATCTGATCCCAACCTGCAAATTTAGGTTTCAACCTGCTCATTATGGGAATATGTTGGTCATACTGGTCGAGATGGGCAGATCTGCTCTGTTTCACAACAAGTCTGGCCAGGCTTCGACACACCACACCCTTTGGCTGAAGCCATCTGGGGAGGTGTTGTAAGCAGCAGTGCAAGAGAGCAGCTACCAAACCAAAGTAGTCAAGGGGTAGACAAAATGTAAGTTCGAAAAATACAGAGTTCTACTGAAAAGCCTTAAGCCAACTATCATTTTTAATGTGCAAGATCCAAGAACCTAGAATCTCCACAGTATCTCTCCAGAATTTTTTTCTGCTTTGACTTTGGCTGCTTTTACATCATCTAACTCAGAAGTATGAATTATTCAGACATTAAAAGGTCCCCTAAGCTGAAAGGATGACCCAAGATTGTGTCTTTTCTAGATGCCTTAAGCACTTACTAACATCAATACAGTAAAACAAGAAAACTAAAGACTTCCCATTTCATAAGTAGAATATTTGAAATATATCAAAAATTAAATAGTAGTAATACAGTAGTTGATTGATGGACCACGATCAAGATCAAAGCAAAGCTAACTCAGACAACCACAAAATGACTTTTCAGGCATCTCAACTGAATTCCTTAGCTAAATTGCAGCCTGCAACCATGTAGTAATATAATGTTCAAAGCAAAGGTTCAAAAAAAGGAAAAACATTCATTTTGTGGTTTTTGTCAACATGCAAATATTTGGAATAAAGAAAATATTATACCGTAACAAATATGGGGCCAAATGTTCAAGAACTCAACACAGAGCAGAGGCGAGCTAATGCTATTTCACAGGCATTCTCTTTGCAAAAATCATCAGAAAAATGAGATGTATGTTTACCTAAAACTTTTTGTGATGATATTGGCAGACGCCAACAATCCTTTAGAAATAAATTTTAAAGCTTTGTATGTTTTTTTGTTAAATATAAAACCTAGCAAACGTCATGTTGAAGCATCCATCGTTCTCTAGAGCCCACATAGTACTGGGCATTCTTCAGAAAAAAGCAAACAAATCTTGAACATCTTCTTTGAGTTACACACAGTTTGCTTTTGCAGGCCATTTCAAAATTACGACATGTGGGGAGAATTCCAGGTTTATATCAGAAGAATATTTAAAAAAGAGAATGGTTATCCACTTTTACTAAAGAGGAGTGTTGGCCTCGTGATTAGAGCAGTGCACTTGTGCTCTGAGAAGGTTGCAAGTACACTGCTCGATCCCCACATCCTGCAATCTAGGTTCCTGAGCCAAACCTTTAACCCCACACTGCTCCCCGGGTGCCACACAATGGCATCCCACTTATCCCCAAGGGGATGGGTTAAATGCAGGGAGTGACTTTCTGCATTGTGGGACAAAACACATTTTGTTTTGTTTTTTTACATTGTTGAAGTGTGAATTACTTTTGAATATGAGGGTAACTAAATATACTGACAGTAACATTAAGAATAAAAAAATATATATATAAAATATAATCCAAATAATTCCAAGTTATCTTTCAGATAGTATGACTTTTCTATATATATGGTTTAATTATTTTCAGGTTATAGAATATTATTA